ATCCGGACGCTTAGGCCAACAAAATGCTATTGCATAGCCCATCAATCAGAAGTCCTTGTTAGCAAACATCCAAGGCGCACCTTTCCATTTGTGTTACATGACTCAGACACATGGATATGTGTACTGATCAAACGTCCTTAACGCCCCTTGATAATCTGCTGTGATTGAGTATCATTGGCAAGTAATAAGATAATACCTGTTAGCATTTGAGGATCTTGTGGTTAAACATATAAGTCATAAAGAAATACAAACAAGGAATGCTAATCCCAATTTTGCTCTTCAATATTGTTCAATCAGGACCCTGCCCTCCTTGAACCTTCAACAAGCGCTGCAGAGCCAAGGATTCTCTCCAAACTTGATGCTGGAACGGTCATCCCAGGCCATCTCTTGCGGCTGTCTTGGTGGATTTCTTTAGAGGACAAGGTTTCAAATGCGCATTTCTGAATAGAAAAAGGGTTAGATCCACTCCCTAATAGTTTGCTCTAGTTTTGAATATATTCAATACATATAGACAAGTGACCATTTAAGCACACAATGGCTCGCTGTGACAAGAGTCCTGACTATGCATACACTTATAACCTACGCTAGGATTCACACATGCGAAAGGCCTTATATCTGTACTGTGGAAAGTGCAAAAGCGCCTTTGCTGATATAGAGTTCGTCCGACGCTATCTAGCGCTTCTGGGACTTCAATGTGGCTATGTTGGCTTAGGATTAGTGGAGTCTATGCTCTATCGTTTGTCCTCTCCGAGTACTTCACCCACCAGGAGATCCTACTCTTCTGTCTGGATTATTTCAGAGTAAGAACGAAATGGATGAAATGTTAGATTGCTGAACGCCTTCAACCCTTCTCTTGGTTGCATCTAGCTATTTAGGGGGCAATACATCAAGTTCCTGAGTGCAGGACATGTAAGAAGAGCACCAACCTTGCATTGTGACCATCATTTTGTTCATTTCCTTGATCACTGCGCCAATCTGACTGGTTCAGACCCCATGTAGAATGCAAAAGCGGGAAAATGTTGCAGTAACTTGTTTAATGGATGATTCTGGTGCTGAAAACTACACAATATCCAAACCAGTAATAGTAAATGCTGGTTATTCTGTGTCATGTGCAAATACCCCCAGCACAGGTTGGATTTGTTGCTGGGCACTGTGTAAAGACCAGATCAGTTGCCTGCCTCAGTAGGAAAAAGAAGAGACGTTAACATACCATATTACCACATACTCCACAGTTATTGGGATTTGATTCAGTGGATGCACAAAGTCCAGCACAGCATGCAAGAACAGGGTATGAACACTGATGTGAAACCCAACATTAGTCTTGTATTGTGAAATAGAGAGCAACAGAGGGAATAGCAAATAACATTAGCTTACACAGATCCCATTACAGGGAGGCAGCCCAGTGTCGGTGCAAATACAATTGCCATTATCACAGGCTGAGCCAGAAGGGCACTGTAGGGAATGTTCAGTCAGCATCTGCCATATCATAATAGAAAGTTGAAACACCTTACATTCGTATTGCATGTTCCACAGTGGTTCAGGTCAGTGTTGAGGTTAAAACAGGCGTTATTACAGCAGCTTTGACCATCTACACATTGCTGAACGGTCAAGAGAATCAGCCACAGACTGTACATGATGGAGGATAATGGGAGTCCGACTTACGCATTGCCCATTACACGGAGGTTGGTTGTTAGCCACGCAGATACAACCACTGTCACCGCATATAGAACCAGTCGGGCACTAGGAAGTCTAATGTGAGTTACTCATACGCTAATGGTAGAGCAAAGACATGAAATCACCAGGCTGACTTACACACTGCCCACTACAGGGAAGCTCTTCGCTAGCTGTGCAGATACATGCCCCATTACTGCAGGTTGTCCCAGCTGGACACTGTAGAGTAGAAAGAGTTATTCAGATGTCATGACTGCAGTGCCAGCTTAATCATCAGGTTGAACTTACAATATTGCCGCATGTTCCACAGTTATTATTGTCCGAATTTAGATCCGGGCAGAGTCCATGACAGAGAGGTTGCCCGCTGTTGCTGCATATGCAAGAACCAGAGCTACATGTTGAGCCAGCTGGGCACTAGAGGATGGTAGCCAGTTAGCCATCTTGCCTTTGTATCAAAGGTGCTCTAACACATCCAACTTACAATATTGCCACAGGTTCCACAGTTGTTATTGTCAGAAGCTAGACTAGTACAGACTCCATTGCAGAGAACTTGCCCGCTGCTGCAACTACACGTCCCAGAATTGCAAGTTGCACCAGCGGGACACTGTAACAGTATAGAGTCAATCATCCATCATAGGCTGATTTATTTAGTAGGGTGACTTACAACGTTGCCACATGTTCCACAGTTATTATGGTCAGAGTTGAAGTTCGGGCACTGTCCCTGGCAGAGAGGTTGTCCACTATTGCTGCAGATACAGGTCCCGGAATTGCAAGTTGAGCCGGATGGACACTGTCCGGTAGCACATAAGGGTCATCACTTATACCATAATACTGGCGTAGGGTCACTTACCGCCTGGCCACATGCACTACAATTAGGATTGGTACCTAGGTTTGAGCAAGAACCGGTACAGCAGACTCGACCTGCCGCACACTAGTAGTATAAAGTTAGCTGTCAATACAATAGTGCAGCCCAGGAGGTTGACTTACTTGATTTCCACACATTCCACAGTTCTGAGCGTTCGTTTGTATATTACTACAAACTCCATTACAGCAGGAAAGGGCATCATTAGGACACTATTAGCATAAAATCAGTCTCTCATAACATATCTTAGTGGGGATAATAGCTTACACATAGCCCACCGCAGGTCGGTAGTCCTGTACGAGAACAGATGCAAGCATTATTAGTGCAGGTCGAGCCGGATGGGCACTATTAAATAGCGAAGTTCATCAGTGCTAGTATGGAGAAGGGAGGGTACCAGACAGACTTACTATGGCACCGCATGTTCCACAGTTATTATTAGTATTCAGGGAAGTACAGGCTCCATTGCAACAACTTTGGCCTGCAGCACACTGTCGGTAGAAATGGTTATTCAAACCATACCAGTGGTAACAGGGAGCCTAACCAGTAGGTTGACTTACACATGTCCCATTACAATAGAATGATCCAGTACTATTGCACATGCAGGCACCTCCAACACAGGTTGTAGTAGATGGACACTGGTATATATCATATGGTCAGTATTCAGTTGAACCGAATGTCAAGGCTTGTAGGCTGATTTACACACTGGCCGCCACAGGGCGGCTGTTTAGTCGCAGTGCAGATGCAACCACCGTTATTACATATCGATCCAGATGGGCACTATGGCATGATGGCATAGTATTAGCCCGTCTGTTCAATATTTCCTGAGGACAAGGAGCAAAGAGGTGATTTACAATATTACCGCATGATCCACAGTTCTGGCCGTCGTTGGTCAGGGACTTGCAAGATCCATTACAACATGTCAAGCCGGATGAACACTATAGAGGAATCAGCTTATATCATATATAGCAAGGAAATCTATTACTTACAGCTGGGGAACATGTCTGAGCCCAGGTGCTGGCTATAATATCTTTGTGGTTAGTTTCACAGGCCGCATAGCATAGAATACACATAAGTTCATGACTCACCACAGATAGAGAGAATGAGAATTAATAATCTAGCCATCCTGAACATAGCTGTGTGACAATGGGTACTGGTGAATATTAATTGATTATGATAAATGATCACACAGAATGTGCCTTTTATTCCTCTTGATGGCTTTCAGCAGTACTCCTCTTGGTTGTTCAGAAATTGGCTGGATATTGCATTTAAATCCGCCGAACTTCCTGGGCTGGCACTCCTTGATGTAGGACAGTAACACTCGCCAGACGTATTACTTTTCAAGAGATAATATGATTAGAGCAGAGAAGCCGTCATACCGCCATTCTCGTCCATCTGCCTCGTTGTCGTCCCTTTGAGTTTAATCAGTCAATTAAGCCAGCTGAGGATAATACTAGCCCATCTTATGTGTCTCAGTCAGCCTTGGCACCCATATCCATCATAGGGAATGGAACACTATTTTCCTGGTTGGAATGTAACTTGCAGACCCCGTCAATACAAACAGCAAAGGTTATGCTCCTCGTGGTTGCAATCAGGGTTACACAGTGCAGTCAGTCCTCCACCCACTGACAGATTGCATGGAGAGCCGCTGACCATCAGACAAAGTTTCGCAAGAAGGGGTGGCATGGAAAAATCTGTACTCTAGAGTTGTGGGAATGTCAAGGCCCTGGTAATGAAGATAGAAAAACCGGATCGATGATAGGGAGGTTGGCGACACATAGGAGCTTCTCAGCACCTAGAAGCAGTTGGTATGTTGTCCCTTTGCTAAGGCCACCATGGGTGGACTACAGAGCCCAGATTGTCCATCCAGTAAATAATACTTATGCAAGGGAGTTGCTGCAGTACATCTAGAGCGTAGATCTATACGTCGTACTACCTTTTGGACTATTTATTTTGGTTTAGTTCGTATTTATGTCATGGAGGGTGCCATCATAACCTATGTAAGTAATCTCAATGACACTGTCTACGCCGCAGACAAAGGCATTTAGAAGGCAAAAGAAAACCCCTTGGGACTGCATTTGAAACAGTGTCATATTCACCAGTAAGCGGAGGTTTACAGCCATTTTCTAAACTATGTAGCATTCGTATTTGATATGAATTTCTACCGGGATGAACGCAATGGATGTTCTTAATCTTACTAAAAGTAGCTGTATCTAAACTGATAGCCGATGAGGTCTATATATAAGATCCGCCTCTTCAGAGTTCGGCAATTCTCTAGGCAGCGAATTTAAAGATGATGTCGGATAGGAAGAGCAGGCAGCTAATGAGGCGCAAGTAATGGTAGTTTCGAATTTGTTCCTGCTACCTGCTATGTATGATGAGCAGGTTCCATAGTGTACAGGTCGTATAGCAGCTTCTCCAAACACCACAATTAATCCACTTCAAGCGATTCACCAGTGCATTTACCCCTCTACTGAAGACCTTTCAGCAAACCATCGACAACTGTACCAACACCGCTAAGAACCGAATTAACGATCGAGTCAGCACCAACTGGATTTGCAGCGGCGGGACCAAGGTTCACACAGCTCTAGATATATCGTCAATATAATGCCGTCTTTTAGCTACTTTAGCCATAGAACTTACCGAGGTCCCATCGTTGAAGTTGAATGTGCAGCAGACCTTATCCGTAAAGGCTGAATCGAAATTAGGACAAATGCCCGTTTCAGTCAAGAGGTCACACCAAGAAGTCGGCTGTGGGTTGCTCGGCAGACAGCAGAAGCAGATTTTCGGAAGCTGGGGTTCGCCATCATGATGGACGGAATCGCCGTCATGGAGTTGGCCACCCTTATTGGACTTCCCAGGGTCTCCGGGTGGCTTTTGCTGGGAGACAGGCGGATTGACCTCACCCTGAGGAGCAGCAGCAATGACTGAAATGAAACATAATAGGGAAGCGAGCGTAGTTGATCGCATTCTCAGATGGCACGCGCTCGTGAGACGTAGGTGATGAGAGAAATGGTGTAATGCATGCAATTGAACACAGATAGCAAGCTTAAGTCAGAGAACAATAGCCCACTGTGTGCCTCGGACGATTGATAGCAGGGAGACAAGTGTCTGATTGGGAAAAGAAGGGTTTTATCTCAATTCTTCCATACTCCGTAGTGAAACATGATCTCCCGACGTGGATACTCTTCATAACTTCTAGATGGAAAAACACTGAGGGAACAGCAATACTCTTGAGCAATGTTGACTGAGAATATTAGTCTTCATTGCTGGTGCAATGGTCATATTTGTATATGTGGCTCTCTCTCCGCTTCATTCAGATGCGGAATGTGGTCTGCATACCTAGGGTTAGGTAATTATATCGATATTGATTAACTTGATATGCAATAGTTGAACGTACTCTGCACTGAGCTATCTCAGTTGTCTTTTTGTGTAGTTAAACCTTGTATCTCATAGATTCAGACTGTCGGTGCTTGAGAACATATTCTTCAGATAGTGAATGGGTGTATTGAGAGGCTTCAACCCAGGCCACAGAGCCAGGAGGTCGATCAAATATTCTCCGTCGACAAAGCGTTAGCCCTCCTGCCACATGATTGCGAATACATACGCTTGTGCCCACAAGCAGGGGCACAGCTGCACGTCCCTTTACCATCCTGCAGGAACATATCTCCCTCCCAACCCCATTGCTGCACATTTTTGGCCGGTGCAGCAACCACGCTGCCCTCCGTCCCGACAGGCAGCGAAACACCACCCCATTTGGGTTTCTCCATTTGCTTCCAGCGGGAGTCCACATATTGCCTCATCTACGATTCCCACTTCTTTTCCCGAGCGGACTGGCAGCGCCGCCGGCAGCATGTCGCCGACCCAGAACTTCTGACCCTCCTCCTTCCCTCGCCCCGTGCTGCAGACAGCGGGCATAAAAAGCAAAGCGTGCATGAGCTGCGAGTGTCACCTGTAAGTACCGCGAGGGGCTGAAGCACTGTAGCGGATTATCCAGCATAGCCCGGTGTTGGCAGAGCTCACCGGACAGCAAGAGGTGAAGATTGAGCTTAGTTGCCCTTAGGAATAGACCGCAGTGCTTGCCGGCGTGTTTGCAGCCCACTCAGGCCGTTAACAGACTCTAGTTATCCTGACTAATAGGTGTTCAGAAGACCACAGGGTGATTGTCACTACATTGAGAAAGGCTCAGAGCATATATAGGCTTGACTCTTCCACAGTGTCACTAACCTCATTGTTTCTTTCTATGCTGTATTAGTTTTGCTACCATGATAAATTATAACATTCTTAGTTGAGGGATGCATTGCCAGGTGATTGTCCCATGGATCCCCTCATGTCCTATTTAGCCGCCGTAGTGAGCTTTCAATAGAGAACAATCCACTTATACAGATGGAGTCAGAGCAGGCGTTGGGATCACTTAGTGGCCAGCAGTGACAATTGAGGATGTGGTATGGGAAAGATTTTCATGCTTGAATCGAAGATGAGAAGCGAATGGTTCTTATATTAAACTAAAACTACTACTAACTAATGATTTCTCATGGATTTTCCTGAAGACAGGAAATGAATTGCAGCTTCAAGCAAAAAAGATGCCACAGGTACTCTCCCACAAGTATAAATCACTTCAACCTCCAGACTCATTTAAATCTTATCGTCAAGAGACGGCTGAATGATAATTGAGATCCAGCCCCCTCATGATTTGCACAACATGGTGCCTTCCCATCAGGTCGAAATTAACCAAAGGTAGGTCGATTTGAAAGCAGCCCATCGACCAGGTTATGGCACCATGACCTCGAAGAGAATCTCCTAAACAGAGAAAAGACGCTAGTCATCAGCATGCTGCACAAAGCCCGACATATGAGGTAAGCCTTACTTAGAGATTGAGGTTGAGCAAGGCTGGCACCAAGTTCAGGACCTCTTGAACGATATTCTGGGCAGCTGCAGCTCCGCTGGGGTCAGAGCAGCCCGTCTAAACATGATAATTAGTGCTAAGCGTATGATGATTGGTGGATGTTAATTGAAAACTCACCAAGACACCACGGGTGACAGGGCAGTCGAATTTGACTTGACCAGCTGCACAGTTCGGGACCGGGGAATTATAGGCAACGCAAGTAGGGGTACCGCCCACCGCAACAGGTACGGCAAAACTACCACTGCAACAGAGAGTAATAGAACTATCAATAGAGGGGGGCAGAGATACAAGGCCAGCACCAGCGCCTTCACCCCAAGGTGCAGCCAAGCCAGCTGCAGCGAGGCTGAGGACGGTGGCAATAGTGAAGTAACGCATCGTGATGAGATTGAGCTTTGACTGAAGATTTCTGGCTTGATGAAAGAGTTTTGCTGTTCGAGGCTTTGTGTTGCTTCTGATTTGGACTGAGTTGTCTGGTTGATGAGTAGAAAACACAACGATGAAGGGCGCATTAGATGGGGTTTATATAGCTTGTAGCTGCACCTCTGGCTTGTCAATACAGGTTAAATGAATGCATAGGGATATTAGGAATGAATTGCTCCCTGTAGGAGCGCAACCCTTTGCTATGGCCACCTCTGGTTATGATACTGTGTTTCATATAATGACTGCTATTCCTCCCTGTGTAAGGCCTACTTAGTCTACTACCGCTTCAGTCTTAGCATTGCAACACTCACCTCCAAGCATGGCGCTATGCCACCCCATATCCTTGCTGTGGCAAATGGTGACAACTAGCATAAGGGGGAGAATTTAGAATTGCTTGGGTCATCTGCAGATATGAGGTACATACGCCATTGCGCCGTAGATGCTCTAACTTCATCAGGGATCAAGGTCATCTCTAGGTATGATGATGGTCTGTGGATCTCTTTAGAAATATTATCAACATTCTCTGTACTTGGATCATCTTCAAACATGTGGATGTCAGTGTAGTCTACTAAAAGACCAAGAAAAATAACTATTCATGTTTTAATTGTGAGTAGAAGCTCCATAAGGAGACGGGAAGGACCGCCAATATGTTGAATCCCCTCATCTTGTCTGCTCATATTATGCATCTCTGGGATGTAGATGACGGTCTCAGACCTAAAGATTACACTCAAGTTTGAGGATGCTTTCGTCGTATCTTTGTAAGGCATCTGGGGATGTGCCGACCTACAAACGCGAGCAATATATAGTTGCAAACAGAGACTGACTGCAGATTAATCACACTGTAAAATCAACATCGCCATTCCGAGTCACTTCTTTGTTGATTTTCATCTTCGAGAATGAAGACGTCTTAACACTATGACGTGAGGTTCTCATGGCAAAAGATGCGACTTGAAACTATGCAGGCCCTTTAGTGTTTAATTGGAAACGTAAATGCAATCTGAAGTGAGACTAATGGTTATGCGAAAGAAAACGCTCTCTGGAGAATTTCACACTGACATGAAGTATTCTTCAGGTGCTATGGTCATTACATGGCATTAATACTGTCCCTTAAGCCAGGAGCTCTGTTGAGTTTTCTCCTGATTATAGTTTATTCTCCCCTACAGGAAGCTGTTAAGGTCATGTTGAAGTATTCTTGTAGTCCTATGCCCTGGAAAGTCCCATCCTCAACCAACTTGATGACCAATAGCCTCTGCTAAGACATAAAATAAGACACTTTCAAGTCACAGCCTAAGCACTTGCAAAATGCGAGTCCTATCTTGAAACAAACCAATCCAGCCCACATACTTGTCTCCCTGCATGTCTCAAACTATCCGGGTCATAGTCTGCATTCAAACCAGGCACCAAACTCTATAACAATCCCTGCATACAAGTCCACAGTCTGGACAATAGCTGCTCTCAGTGTATGCTCCACTTGTCCAGTGGACTCATGCACCATTAATATGGCAACATCCTGACACCTACATTCTCTAGCCTAATTCTCCGAGACAGCTCAGTGGCTACGAAGCTGCTTTCCTCGTGCCAACGGACCTTATGGGTTATGGATAAGGCTCTTGAACGATCCCGTGCGTGAGATCGACGGCTTTCAAGGCTAAATGCGGAAAATTCTCAATAACAGAGACTTGGTGGTTGCAGGGAAACAGAGACGCTTCCGCAATAGACATTCAACGGTTTTGTCTTGAAATCCAAAGCCGACCAAATCAGACCAAGATAACTATTTAAGCACGTATCCTCCTCTGAAATCCAACTTCTTCTCTTTTCCTCCTCAGTTTGACTTCCTTGCTCGTCTCGACCTAGCTTGCTGCTCAATCGCTCATTCTCCTTCTCTGAGTCCTACCCACAGACCCACACCGAAGTATACATGCACTGTAGTAAGGTGACAGGTATACTTCATTGTGACTTTGTGGCTTGGACACTGGGGATGGAGATGGATTGGCAAAAGTGGGCTTTGTATAGGCAGTAACGCAGTCAAGCTCCTGATGTTGGAGCTGACTGGTTCGGCCAAGTGAAGCCTTTTGAAGAAGATAACTCCCTAGCAATGCTCGTATCCAGTTGATTTATGATGCATGTAGTTGAATCAATCCATAGTCAAGTCTCTCTCTGATTTTTTTCATGTTATCAGCAAGCTATATATTCCTCAAACGTGTAACCTTTTTTAAAGGCATGATCTAATTCTTCATAACTATCAAAGCTTTCCCTTGGGTCTTGAACTATAAAATATAGAATCTTACAGAGCGCTCAGCCACCAGTGACATGAGGGACTTGTTATAATAGGGAGGAATACAACTCTTATAATCAATTCGAATATCATCATTGGAGGGTTAAAGTACTTATCAGAGTATGATGACTGACCGGAAGCAGCACGATTAGCCAGAAGATACAAGTCAGGACCGCCAAACAGTTCTAGAAGTAGCTTTTTAATGTCAATTTTATGCAAGAGAACCAGTGCCTTCATCAATCGTGATCTGTTTTATTTGAACAGGTTGAAGCTGAAGTCGACCTTAGATTTTTCTTCAATATAATCATCCGATTGAATGATTTACAGGTCGTCCAATTTATGTCTTTCCTGTTTCCCAAGCAGAAACTTCATTAGTTGTTGTCTCTTTCAGCTTGCAAAGTTGAGATATTGCTTTGTCTTCGTATAGATAAATATATATATATGGTCAACATTTGCCTCACTCTAGCTCACCAGTATCAAGAATCACCCAATCAAACCAGTCTAAGAAGAAATTCTATTACGATCTAAATATGAATGAAGACAGTATTGAAATTCCTCTAAGCATTAATGTTATATTCTGTATCAGAAATGTAGAGTCAAGGCTATGGTAGCTGTGCAGCTGTATTCCTTCAATTAAAATGGTCCACTGCCTAAATTTCAGCTTCTGAGTGGAACTGAATCAAATTAACATGAACTTCTAAGCAGCTACTTCCTAAATACTATCACTTGAATATTAAAAGTTGATATCAACCAACATACAAAGAAGGAGCCCTCATGGCTTAATGATAGATGACATTGAAGTTACGTGATCAAGCCTTTTGCGACTTTGCAACGGAACCCTTGAAGTTCAACAAGGGCTGTAAAGCTGCTTAGAGGGTTAGATTAAGCTATAGCTGCTATAGGGCTGGTTGCATCAGTCATACAGGATGTTATGCAAAGCAACAGAGTTCCTCTCAGTGTTTTAGAGTCATATGTTTAAGTAACCCTAGCAACTAGTCACCCAATCGATTTTCCAGTTTTATAAATTCTGCTATACAACTGAGCAGGTTTTGGCTCCCAGATCTACCAGGCTGGTTCGACATTAAACAGCAGGTTCAAAGGAGTAATGTTGCGCATAGTACATTTTCTAGCCGTTGACCACTGCAACGGGCAACAAACTTCTTTGCTCTCAATACTTTCGCATAGGTACCTTGCCATAACTTGTTTATACCATTTACTTGATTCCATTTCCACCTGCATTTTCCCTTCTACCCCTTTTTCTTATTATTTCCCTTTTAATTTCTCAATTCCTCTCTTGCGGGACCCTGCATTATTCTGTTAGTGGGAAGCCCTACTACAACGAGTTTGATTCAATAATGATGACTCTTGAATTTAGCTCTCAAATCTTAGGACCAAGCCAGTAGTAGACCCATTGGTCATCTCGAAGTATGTATGTACAACTTTCCACTAGCGCGAGCGTGGACAGGATGGCTCGGACTGTTAAGGTCATCTTCAGGAACGAGTACAAAGCATATTTGAAATCCTACTCATAGTAAATCGTTACTTAGCAAAACAAAGTTTGTGTTCTGTGGACGTCCCCATATGTTTCCTGAGTTACTTGCTATTTGCCGTTAGTATTAATTCTATCTTCATATGTAACCTATCCTAAGCAGTAAATTCAGTTGAACAAAAGGCAATGGGATCAATCTCTATGTCTGGATATAGTTTGTGAAAGTTGTTCTAATGCAATGATATGAAATGCTTGCTTTTTGCAGTAGACTTATGCTTCTACAAGTTTGATGAAGACCTCGTAGATCATGACTAGCACTGAATAAATAGTAGATAGGCGTTTCGCATCGTGCATGAGAACTGTGCATCTCCTTTTTGAGATGAAGTAAGGAGACGACTGGTATAGACCTCAATTAGCACAGCTGCTCTGGATCCAAGAATTTATCACCATAGTTTAACAGGAGCCTCATCTCACGCTACTCTCTGTGAACTGAGCCTTAGGTGCTGCAATGTGGGTGCTAATAGTTTGGAATTAAGATGAGCTCACCTGGCCACATTGTGGGAGAGAATCTTTATCTATGCTAACCTGGTTAGATAATGACCCCTTGATCCATGTAGCCAGACAATGGAATTTCTTTTAATTAAGCGACCTTTTTATCTCTTAATGGTGGATTGATTGGATTTCACAGTCTAAGCTGAAGCAGATAGATCCTCCCATCATCACTTAGATTCTGTATATGTTCAAGCAGCCTCATGTCATGACTCTTAAGCTCTAATTACTCACTCTTCGAAATAACCCTCCGCTTGTTGTTCATGATGCAAGAATATAGCATTGCTTTTGCCACCCTGATCGTTAATGGGGTGGCCACTATTCTTGTTCCTGATCCTACCCGCCGTCTGATTATTTTGAATCCTAATGATCCAATACAACGTCTACGACACAATTTGATGCGATATGGCTTGATTCGGACTCAAAGGGACTTGATTCCGGAAAGACTTCTCCATTTAGGTCTTGTAGGCGTTGGACTCGACAATACGGCCTTTGTCAGAGACTCGCAAACAGAAGATATCCATGATCTGGGTTGTACACAACCAAAACATCCCGCTCTTCTTCCCCAGGGTCTCTAAGCTGATTCATTGCAGCTCTTGATGAGGATGGGGGACTGCCTTCCTGAACAGTATTATAAGACCTTTCTTTTCTTGATTAGGATTTTTTGGTTGACTGAAAATAGATTCCAGGGCGCTTGGGACATTTGAATCTCAATTTCTCAACAGGTGTGATACGCGAATTGACCTAAATAACGGTCATAACGGCTCAACTTTGTTGATCAACTCAAATATCATTGAACTTGAGAATAACTGGATATGTGAATTATCACAGAGTTTGGCGTGGGTGGCGTACTGCACTGGCTAGTAAATATGCCGGTAACATGGAGGTCCTAGTAGGGAGTTGTATATAGAAGGTGATAGGTGAAATAGACTGCGGTGCGCTCAGTATGAAAGGTCTGGTTACTTTTTAATTCTGGGGATGAGCCTTAGAAATAATGGCAGCTACAGTAACATAGACTTCATTGCATACTAGAAATACTTATCATTATCAGCAAGTAGGGCTGTCTTTGTGCTTCTGTGCTACAATATATAACTAGAGGTGATAGGGGCTTGCATCATTCAGCGCGTCCTGAATTAACAACACACATCTTCTAACACTCTCTATATACTTTCTCTGATTAAGGTCTTTGACAGAATGCACTCTATATTTTGCATATACTTCACACACTGATAGAGAAAAGCCACTGAAGCAGTTATTAATCTACACCAGTTCCTCCCTACCAGCCTCCTTCACGAAGCACTCAGATACTAAAGACTCCATAGTAAGTACATGAGCTTATGCTCAGTTCCCATTTTACAATTGATACCCTGCGATAGCGGGCCAATCTGGTGTAAAGCACATTTAATAGGGACTGCCATTGCAGTCAATCCATTCCACATCACCTTCCCTCATGCCTCATTGCACCATATACTTTGTATAAGAGATGCCCATTATTAATATTAAAAACAACTTAATTACTCATCCTGGATCTGACCATTACTGATTTCACCTCACGGAAGACCTTAGAAGGGATTGTCCAATTCTTAACTAAATTTATTGACAAGAATCCTTTAGTTCCAGCATGGCGTGTTAAAGAGGAAGTTGGCCAGCTTACCTTAGCTCTTTCAGAAAATCACTGCTCTGGGTTAGCAGAGTAGGCGCATGTGTCTGGAGATATATAAGCCCCTCTAGGGGTTGCGATTGCCATAGTTGGCCTCCCGAATACATTATGTTTCTCAAGAATTGCAGCTGTTGCATTCAGCACTGGGTTTCGTAAAATGCACCTTATGTAAAGTGCGTAATCTCTTTTGCCCCTGAATCCAGAAAGACACATTGCTCAATGACCTCATTAAAATGGACATGATGCTCGGGCGACTTGGGCGAGTGGTGGAACTGCGGAGACGACTAAGAAATGTATCAGAGATTAGTCAAGTCAGAACTCTTACCTAGCTTAGAAAGACTATGGACCTGTTCCATAAAGCTTCCACTCGTAGCCTTTGGAATTTATCTTTTGAGATTGGGTATCGTAGCCATGTACTGGCTGTTCGTTTCAATGCCGATTTTCGAGGCACTGACGGGTTCTCCAGACTGGACTGAGAGACCGGAGCTGCCGCTAGAACAGGGAGATCAGACAGTAGTGGTCCATAAAGCCAGGTTATATCAGTTTCCTTGTCCCTGGAGTGAGTTAATCATGGAAATTCTTAGACATATATAGACCTCATATACCAGTTGAGTTTCTGCGACGGGAAGTTACGCACGAAGTTTTCCACTCTCCACCATGCTCTCCAAAGGGCATTGTCTAGTCGGCGATAAATACTGTGATTCTTCTTTCTCTTCCGAATATACTGCCGGGTAGCCCAGACCTGAGGCTTCCATAGATGAGACAGATAATCCGCATTTAGTTCAGGAGGGTGCTCAATCATGGAATCATCTAGCGCTCTTGCCCTGAAATCCCACATTATTTCCTGTATAAGGGGATGGAGTAAGAGAAGGAGAATCTATTGAGGATATTGTTAAAAAGTATTATATGGAATCAATGATGACGGTAAACCATTTAGAAGGAATCAGTTTTACATCCAGGATGATTAAAGATTCTTGAGATCCTTCTTTTGTATCTGTACATAATTCTAGTGGATTAGGAAATTGTCTTACCCAAGCTTTTTTGCATTCAGAACACTGCCCTGTCTCATTTCACGCTCCACTCAAACAAGGACGCGAACATTTTCTCCTTCTGTTCCCTTAATAGAACATCCAATCGGACGCCTCTGATGACAATTAAAAAGGTAATAGGGCTATAGATGAGCTAAAAGAGAATACGCAAGTTTGTTCCTCTGATGCCTGTGAGATACATCTGTTTATAAGGGCTAATGTATATAAAAGTCTTCTCTGTTTCATCCCTTACAAATATCTTCTCCGCTGGGAAAAGATAGAACCTAAATCCTATCTGAGTTAAACGGAAATTGTGATGTGGAAATGTTAGTCTTACCAGCCTTAAAAGAACAAAAGTATGTAAGCCAGCCACAGCATAAGTGAATCTACCATTAGGAGTAGCACCCATTACTTGCCCTGCCTTGTCTCCTTACAGTAATAACTTTTTAAGTTTCAAACTGAGACGACCACAGCAGTGGAGAAAATGAAGCCTATTATCATGTGCAGTAAGGAGACCACGTCCCATGGCCATACGCCGAGGTGACCATAGCTGATGGACCTGTGTCATTTTACAATCTTCACATTTTCTGGAAAGCATGACGCATAGTACTCCGTAGATAAGCATTTTGAATGCGACCATCGCCATGCTATGGCTGAACGGCCCTGGCGCTGACCTACCCACACCATTTCATTGACAGATGCAACATAAAAGAGAACCAAACCCTAATCCCATTAACTCAGAACCAGTGCAGCCCCTTTTGCCCTCTCTGGCTGCTAGTAAATGCCTAATAGCCATTGCCGTACATGTTTTTATAATTGCTCTTATATGGATCTATACTAACGTTTCAAAGTAGTAATACGTTCGCTAAACTACATGAGACAGTCCTGATATCACTCCTGGGACAATGATCTTAGTCAAAGAGATGTTCCAGACCACAAAGGAGAGTGCAATTTTATGGGATAGTTTTTTATGTCATTGCGGGTTGCAGGATGTTTGGAAAAACATATTTATTAAGGAATCCAGAGGTATTAGGCATATTTTGCAAAGGAAGAGCTACAAGCAAAAGACCAGGGTAAACTTGCACAGTGTTAATCCCTAACCACATGTACACGTCCAGGGATCTGGAGATTGCACTCCAAGGCCTACGCATAGGTGAAATTACTGCTCTCAGAATTATTCTTTGTGACCTTAGCTAAGACATCTTCGTGCCTAAGACATGATCTCTATATGAACTAAGCGAGATGATGACTTAGTGGCTATTTCCGTGGTGGCACTATTTACTGACCTATATCTGAATAAAGTGCATAAAAGATCTTCTCTGTTTCTCTTCGATCTGTAAAAACATATGAGTCAATTTGTCAAGGAAGAGAATCTCTGATCCATTGAATGACCCTTCACAATGGACCACGCCCAAAACTCCGATGAGCCACATTTGATAACAACAACCAACATCAGAAATGAAGCAGGACACTCTCAGAACGCCCGATTTCCCCGGCGTCCAGGCCATGGAGCTTCGGGATTGCCTACGGTTCTGCGAGTGAATTACTATGAGTTGAAGCTGGATCCTGACCTCCGCCTGTACCGGTACAACGTCGAAATCTGTCCACCCGCCGATGGCAAGGCAAGTACGCCTCGGTCGTGTTCCATACCCAAGCATGTCATGCTTTCCCTGTTGCGAACACACTTTTGCCAGGAACAATCCAACATTGCGACTGATGGCCGCCAAAGCCTTATATCGAGGCGTCGTCTTGCCCTTCCCGATCAGCCCCTGCTTGTCCATTCCAATGCAGAGGATACCTACCACCTCCGGGTCCGATACACTGGCACCCTCGCATCAGAGGATCTTTTGGCTCAATTAACCTCGGACCACAGAAAGGACAAGGAGGTTGGTCCCGGAGTGCCCACCAAAGAAGAATTCATTCAAGCCCTGAACATCCTCATCGGCCACTATCCCCGGTATGCGTCTTCCCAATTCGTCTCAGTGGGATCCAACAAGCATTTCGACGTGGACAGTCCCATCAGCCTGGGAGCAAGCCTGAACGCCTTGACGGGTTTATTTGTGTCGGTTCAAATCCCAGATAATCGGTTATTGGTGAACATCCAACCCAAGTATGCTGCATGCTACGAGGCGCAGCCGCTTGACCGGCTAATGATGACATATCTCCGTGACAAGGGCCCAGATATGGGCAAGCTAGCAGCGTACCTCCGAGGCCTGCGCGTCCAGCTTCTCCACTTGAGGCCGAACATGAGGGGCGAGAGATCTCTGCCACGGGTCAAGACGATTGTGGGGCTGGCGATGCCCGGGGACGGGAAGAACATGACCTATCCTCCTATCGTGCGCCGTCCCGGTGGCGGAGCTCAAGATGTTCAGTTCTTTCGAGAGGCTAGCTCAACTTCACAATCGTGGACGGGAAGTCCGACGAAAAGGAAACGGTCGGCATCGGAAGGGTATACGACTGTGTCAAACTACTTTCGGGAAGGTAAGTAAAGCTGTGGCATGCCGAAGCTCACGGAACTCAGCTGATTGCTTGTGAGGTTACGATAGCTCACCGAATCGTCCTGCGTGATCCGTATCTTCCCGTGGTCAACACTGGGAGCCAGACCAATCCATCATATCTCCCTGCGGAAGTGTGTTGGGTCTTGCCCGACCAGTTATCACGAACTCCACTCAGTCCGTTGCATACTCGTCAGCTACTTCGAACGATCGAGGGTAATAACGGCAGGGATGGGACCTGGGGCCAAAACAATAGCAGGAACAGTCGGCATTGGCAACAGGGTCTGACAAGGAGGATCGAACGGCTTTTGGGGCCGCCTGATGGTGTGGCATGCTTGGTAGGTGTTGATTAAAGCATCTCCTAGTATGTTACGGCTGCCATCGTACTGACAATTATCATCGCATGTTCGATCTATCAGCGTTCCTTTGGATGCTCTGTGAATCACACAATGATTACTGTACCTGCGCGCGTACTCCCCGCGCCAAAGGTGAATTATGGTCAGGGAAAGGAGGTCCTGACTGAGGCGGCCACATGGAATCTGCAAGGGATACAATTCTTGACACCAGCACGTGTCAAATGTTGGACCGCGATATCGATCGTGAGCCGTAGGCCAACTAAAAAGTACGATCGGCGGCTGATGGAACGCGCACTGGCTGGTTTTCGTAACAAATTAATCGCTCTCGGCATTGAAGGGTGCCCGCCACACGAACCCGGCGTCGAAGTGCATATGTCACCTTCGGAGACATACCAGACAGGCCAGTGTGGCCCGCTGCAACAAATTCACGGATTTCTCCATGCGTGGGGAGCTCAAGCCCGACAATATGGCAAGCAGTCCATTTTTGTTCTAGTCATTCTTCCAGAGCCGGACGAGACCCTTTACAATCTGATCAAGTACCTGTGTGACGTCCAGTATGGTATTCCTAACATTTGCGTTGTAGGCGAGAAGCTCGTCCGTGCAAACGATCAGTTTCTCGCCAACCTGGCCCTTAAAGTAAACCTCAAACTCGGGGGCTGCAACCATATGCTCAAGAGCGTTGGCACAAAGCTCGAGCGCACGATGGTGATCGGCGTGGATGTGACACATCCGACGAAAGAGTCCAGCTCCTCCATTCGGCCTTCAGCGCCAAGCGTGGCGGCCATGGTAGCATCTGTGGATGATGGAGCCCTGGCCCACTGGCCAGCCGCTGTCGCCATGCAGGAGCCAAGACAAGAGATTGTGACAGGTATAGACCGGTTGTTGAGCTCGCGACTACGTCTGTGGCAGGAACACAACAGTGGCACCCTGCCAGAGAACATCCTGATCTACCGCGACGGCGTCTCGAAGTCGCAATACAAGGCCGTGCTAGATATCGAATATCCCCTCCTCCGTAAGGCATGCGACGAAATCTACGGCCCAAGGAAAGAGGCCCAAGGTGGTGGACCCGATCCAAAACCGCGCATATCGATTGTGATTGTGGGAAAGCGCCATCATACGAGGTTCTACCCCGATGAGGCAGGTCCCCCGGGACGCCTGAATCCTCACAATGGCACTGTTATCGATCGTGGAGTGGCGGATGAGGGTCTATGGGACTTCTACCTCCAATCGCATACAGCGGTGCGTGGCACCGCCCGGCCTGGCCACTATGTTGTCATTTATGATGAAATATTTCGACGCTATCGGGGTGGGGATGACCCATTGTCTTTGGTAGCGGATGATCTACAGACGCTAACGCACGGTCTGTGCTACGGATATGGTCGAGCAACCAGGGTACCGAGCGTGGTCCCGCCAGTGCTCTATGCAGATCTGGTTTGTTCCCGAGTGCGATGCTATCTCAGCTACCTTCGTGAACGGGGACAAGAGGCACCCGATCAGATTCACCTCCATCCTGCTATTCGAGATACCATGTTCTATATTTGAGGCTTGAGCTTAGGACCTTGGCAGTTCTGCAGACCATTATAGTCAGGAAATTTGAATTTCCCCAGTGCATGGAGATGGTTGCCTTTCTTCTATAATTTGTACATCAGAGTGATAGAGGAGCTCAATTTGGTTGCTGCAAGACTAGTCGGCCCTGTATGTGCGACCTACTTTCATCCACAAAGAGGCATGCCTTAGAATGATGTTGATGCAGCCACAACGGGGGGAAGAATCTACCAACCTCCGCAAGATTCCTACATGCTCACCGAGGCAGCATGCTTTGCTCCCGCTTATATCTGCGGAATATCATAATTTTGCTCAAATATGCTCCATCTAAGTGTAAAGTGTCACCTTAGAACACTTAAAACAGATCACTGACACTTGTCTCTAAAAGGAAGGAACAAACTATTAGGGAGCATCCCCGAAATCCACAGAGCCTCGGGGAGAGCATCTGCAGGGGTCTCTGTAAAAACATCCGCATGAGAAACTGCGAGGGAACCAGCGGAGAGAACAGTAAGGGAGTCGACAGCAGATTAGGAGAATCTGGCAAAGCGAGAATGCAAATGATACGAATAGAACTCTACCATGACTCGTACTGATTCACTTACTGATCCACTTTGGATAGTCTTGCTAGTTCCCTTTGTGTTTTTCTCACTAATTCCCTCGCAGTGAGAGACCGCAATAATTCCCTTGGAAGAATTAGATGGTAACAGCATTGTTGGCTATTCAATTTGCTGCTTTCTGTTACTTTCTGCAGTTAGCAACTGTTCTAGTCACATATTCATGTTGATCTATCTGTAGGGCGGAAATGTGGGTTCGCAGTAGGCGCAGTTCGGAGATGCAATGAATTGACAACACTGGACATCTGCACAAGTCAAAATCAGGACTGACCTGGAAAGAACCCCTATTGGGTGTAAATATTGGGCTCGAGCTACTCAACTTGACCCATACGGAAACGCCCTGCAAATCCCGAAACTCAATAAGACAAGACGTGGCCGCGAAGTACCGACTAGACGTTTCTCTTTCCCTGGCAAAGCTCTGCTAAAGTGCTAAGATATCTGGCATGCAACCATGAGCTCTGCATTGGATTTTATTAAAAGACCACGACTTATAGTTGATTGGCGGCTCGAAATTTCAGACTTGGCAGATTACCTAGGGCTTTTTTTATCATATGACCGGATAAAACACCCAACCACTCATCATACGGCATGATTTGGAGGAAATCCGACGTGTTGCCAAACTCCTGAGGTATTGGTTACCCTGCTGGGCTTGTTGCACAGTAGTCTCCGGGCTTTGCTTCAGCATCCCTGTGGCGCGAAAGAGGGCGCACCGGAAAGTCCCTTCGACAGCCGCGTGCTGGCAGAGTTTGGGGCAAAGGCCAATCAGCGTCTCGAGAACAGGGATACTGAATGTACTTTTGTTAGAGTGCCGGCGGTACTCGGTGCATGGGGCTTAGATATGCAGTATAATCCGTATGGTCCAACTATTGCTCGGCTCTAAAGCATTTTGCCTTCGAAGAAACCGGCTAATTCTTCCAAATGGCATTGGCACCCCGTGCATCTTATCAGAAGGATTGAGACAAGTATCCTCTAAACTAGTGCCAGGCGCTCTGCTAGGCAATCAGTGAAGGCGTTAGAGAGAGGTTGGGGTCTGTGAGCAGTTCAGGATCTGTAAATATGACTTATGCACAGCTTGTGTCAATTGTTATTCGCCAAGGTAATCTTTCCCCGTCGATACGTCTGCATTTGATTGGCAACAAGCCAAATCCCAACGCAGTGCGGTAATACTGGCTTCATCAGTCGCTTTGACAATGCAGACAGGCTTCGATCAATTGAGCAACTTCCTGCGTATTTCCCCACGGGGCGTTCATGTCATGTTTGAGTATATGTATCTTTGCCACCTTTGGAGAAGTACTTGACTTGAATCGAAGGGAATAGGTTTCGTTTCGAGGTGCATCCAACAAGCTTACTCCCTGTCATTGCTAATCCTAGTGGTCGAGCCTTTTATATTCAGTAGCATTAGATAAAAGTAGATCATTATATTTTTATTTAGATTGGACCATTGATAAAGCATTAAATAGGGTTATGCTTAGGTTTGAAGATGTTGACCTATAGTATAATTGCGCCGGTTTACCCTAGGCCCTTGCGATGGAATATGAGATCAACTGTGTGCTATAATATTAACCAATAATGGCGCATGTGCTTTTTGATATTTTCATGGATTGCCCTGAAGGTGAGGTTGTATAGCCGGCAAATCCATTGCGCTGGCTGTAGATTTGAATCTACGGTGAGAAGGGTGTGTCTCTTATTAATAATTTGTACAACAGTAGTCCGCTAAGATACTTGCAATACCGTGTTATCTATTATTTCTGGTCTTTTTGCCTCAAGAATCAATCCCTCGAAAATGAAATGTTGCCATAAGACATGGGTGATATGGCAAGCAACCAACAAGATAGAAATACCTTCTCTTAGAAGGGCAATAGTGAACGTTCTATTCCAGATGCCATGGCCGATTGTAATGTATTCAGTTTAATTACACTGGAAATGACCGTATTTAGCCTGATCTTACCCCCTCTATGGCTTGAATCGGTCAGGACGAACTGTCTTCACGAAGGTCACATATTTTCGATCGGTTATAACTGCAATCGAATCAGCAGGGTTCACAGCTTGCAACTCTTGGGAATGTATTGATTGACTGACTGGTTGCCATCTATGATTCGGGTGTTCTTCCAGATGTCCGGAATAGGTCTCCGCAGCCAAGGGCAGGATGTCTTCCATAAATTGCGGCCTCAGTTCTGGGATAAAGTTCTGGCTGGGAAGGATTGAGGGAAATGTCGCCTCTGGCACAGTTTGCAGAGGCCAGTCAGAAAAGCAGGTCTGTTGGTAGGGCCCGTAACCCAGAAGCGGTGCTTGACTGGCTCCTGTAAACAAGAGACCGGTGCTTCCAATGGTGGATATGTCGGCGAGAAAAGCATCTGGCGGCACAGTGTTGTACAGGGTATCGACGGGGAAGCCCATTGGGAGAGCTGGCATCTCGTGAGGGTTGACCGATGATGGGGGGATGCAATGCATGGTGTTTCGTCCGAGATTGATATTGGGCTCTGGAGGCCCATCGCTAGGAAAAAGAAGTTGAGGGCTGTGTTGAGGTGGCTCGGTTCGTCTTTGATGAAGACAGTCCCGCTGGTGTTTGAGCAGAACAGATCTGCGAGTGAACCTATGTTCGCAAGACAACGGTCAGTAACAGTCCCCTAGGCAGGATAGGATGGAGCATATAACACACCTTTTGTAACACTGCCCAATCGAGCAAAGATATGGCTTCTCTCGTGTATGAACACGTAGATGACGGGCGTAAGTAGATTTCTAAAGTGCAAATGGCTCTTAGATCCTCGGCGCCAATACTAATGAGGCTGATTCCCAAAAGACACAGTATCCATCACCATAGGGCGTCTTACATCAGCAAATGCTCTGTTACATCCCTCTTCCACACATAGAAAAGGCTTCTCTCCAGTATGCGTCCGAAGGTGGATCGTGAGTGCTGTACGTTGGTTGAATCTTCTTTTGCAACCGGGGATTGTGCACTGGAATGGCCTCTCGTTTGTATGGATCAAATGGTGGCGAGACAGGTCAGCGCGACGACTGAATGACTATCATAAGGAGATTAATATAGGCCAAGGTTGTTTCAGCCTCAAAACTCGCCTTATTGCACTCGGAATACGTGCACTTGAAATCTCGGTCCGCTGTCGAACTCATTGTTGGTCAGAAGAAGGTACTAAGATGACTATGTCAGAGTCCACCTCAACACGGATCTTAGGACTGCATATTGATGGGATATTGAGGTTGGAGGGGGATACATTGGCGTTAAACAAAACCAATATGTGCCATACAAAGGGGTCAGTCACGCAGTAGAAATGGAATCGGAATGAGATTTGACCCTGGTGGCACAAGCTGCCTTACAGATCATGGCTATTAGTCTTTCTGCAACCAGTAAAGACTGATATCAAGACCCTCCCTAGCAATACATGTTTTAATGCGGGTCTACAATAGTTAGAGCGGCCACTCTCTGAGTAACTCTTATGCCTGATTGTGGGGAACGTGTACATGATGATATACATGCCAGGGAAGTAGTAAAATGGTTTACATCATGTATCTCACTTATTAAGGATATATGTGTGGCGAAATGATGAGACTACTTGTAACCCTAACTTTCCATAGTGGTGAAAGAAAGAAGGGCCTCGATGATGACTGACATAATGTATATTCTTTGGGGAATATTGACTAGAGATCAGTTCATGGTCGATATCGACAGATTCGGAGTTCTTTTGAGAATAAATAGCAATTCCACTGAGTTGAGAACGGAAAGGCCTTGACATATTTGGCCTGTGTGCTGTTAAAAAGCTGGGGCTTTGCCAACCCTCGGAGGCCCCTTTCCATTTCGCGAACCGATCCGGTGATTTGTGCTTCTAAATTAGCCTAATTCTTTCCAAGATGCGAGCAATCCTTGGGATATTTGATATCCGAGCAGTAATTGACTTGGTCTTGCGGCACGAAAGTGGCCGAAGTCTAGGACAGACACAAGAGGCAGGCACTTTCATACAGGCCTTGACTGATCATTCATTGCCTTGAAGGGGCAAATGATAATCTTAGTCCTTATGTATGATTCAGGCCGTGTGCATTCCCTTTTCTGTCATTATGGGGAGATTAACTGTCATTACTTTGCACTAATGCACCCGTTGCTTCCAGAATGATACATCAATGACGTATGTGGCCAAAGACAGGCATGACAGGACGGCTATCCAATAGGGTAGACCTCATTTTGGCTGGGCAATTGTGTCTAAGACAGAGTATATGCCTGGGCTATGGTCATTTTCTAGTGTGACCATGAACTCATAAAGCAATAGCTCTATTGCGTTTTTCCTTGCGCAAAAGGTCTTTTTATTTTTCCACCCTACACTGGGCCGCTATGGTCATGTCAAAGCATGCGTTAAATCTGCTGTTAATAAAGATACCTTATGCTATTTATTAGTTGCTCAGGCCATTATATGCAATGTTCCCGCAGCTATTCTCGCACGCGCCTGGGTTGCCTGCTAAGGACCCTTATGACAGACAAAGAGTTAGTGGCTATTTCTTCCTTTCTTTTTTACTTTTATCTGTTTTTACCCCTCTTTTAATGTGATAACCACTCTGATAAATCTCCTGCTTTCAATAAGCGCAACGGTTTTTCTCTTGCGTTCTTCCCTTCCCCCTTTTACTCCATCTCAGACAGTGGTTCTCGCAAGAATTGGAAGAGTAGCTTCTCATTGATATCAAGTTTATGCCTCAATAGCAATTTTTTCCGTTCATTACTTAGCTGACAACCCCGGTTTGGTTATATTATCAGGATTTAATCATAATTATGACGGTTATGATTTTGGAGCTTTCCGCCAGTCATCAGACACCAACTTCCTGACTGCTTATCTTCTAGTTCATTGGTATTATTTATTACCTTTCACCCTTACCTACCTCTCTTATGTATCTAATCTGCCTCCAGAAATGTTTTCTAGTCAAATGCTACCCTATTATTACATGTAACCTTCGGACTTCGTGTCTATGAAATCAGTCGAGCCTGACATAGGCAGGTTGAAGCCACTCAGTACGAAAATGTGCTGTCCTGTGCATGTTTCTGGTAGCAGATGGTACTCCGTAAGGACACCAGTTTCTGATTCGGTGACTGGGCTGCTGCTAGTCTCGATTATTATATTATCATACCTGTGGGCCCTATTGGCTGTGGCGGCAGGTCCCTGCCTGTGGCTGGGTACAGTGCTAGGATGTTATACTGAATTCGTAGCAGTAGGGCTAGATATGGATTTGCAAATTCGGTCAGCCAGTCTAAGCGCATCCAGTCATTGACTTCCATCTGGGAGATAGAACAATGTTAGCCAGCGCAATACTTAATTATGGGGTGTTAGGGCTGGGATCCTTGGTGAGACTTTATGCAGCCGGATACTGGCGAGACTCTGCGGCTGTTTCACTGCCAGCCTTTCCTTGGTCTAACTATGCTTGGTGATATTTACGGTGTTCTGGCTAGTAGAACTCCCAAGAAGGCAGGTGGATTGCTGCTTTATCAATGCCGAGTACGGAGTACTTCATGCGCTTAAGGGAGTAGAAGCCTTCATATCTTGAACCCTCTCGTAGTCGATCATGCTTAGTGATCGCTTGACTCAATTCTCCACATCGAAATCAAAAGATGAGCCTGAAGTCTTCCTGCTACATAGAGCATGGCACGGCATCTTAACCCCAAAGGCCAAGGCCATTGCTTCGCCGTAAGCATCTTGCATTAGTACAAGCATAACATATTGTTAGGCCGGAATGACGCAGCACAAAAGATCCATACCTGACTACTATAAAGAGTCGTCATTATTAGATTAAGAACCTTTCCCTGGCAGTCATCCGTTCGCCTTTCAGTACATACAAATTTACCGTCTAAGCTTCAAGCTTTGCACAAGTCAAGCCAATTCAATCTGCCGGTCAAGTACAAGGCCTGTCGTTCAAAATGCAAGGCTACGCACACAAAGGCCCCATTGACTGCACCAAGCCCATTAACAGTGAAACCATCCGAGGAAAGCCCGCCATAGTCACTGGAGGTATTATTCCGTCCTCGAATCTTTCCGATCTGAAGTGAATGTTAACAAGAAACAAATAGGTGCAAAACTAAGTGGGCGACGCGTGGGATAATGCACTCGCTGCGGAGAACAGCCTTCTATTACGGCAGTCGGATCAATGTCATCTCACCATGGTAAGTAGGATATGGGTCATCTGCCCCCCTCTGGAATATCTTCTTTCCCACCGCTAATCACTGTCAAACGCAGGTATGTCAAGACAAACATCCTGTCTGATGAGGCCTTTGCGCATGTCAAGAGTGCCGGGTGCAATTGGCGCTGGCTGAAGATGCCGGACAATGCCTGCTGTGCATCCTCAGCGACCAGACCATCAACGGCCCTTCGCTCTTTGTCTCCGGACGCAAATGGGCGCCCAAAGGATACATGGACCTGGATCTCGACGATTATCCGGGGAACCCGCTCATTCAGGGAATCCAAGAGGACCAGTTGAAGCCAGAACACTTTTCCCTGGGATTGTTTGCGTGAGACAGGGTGCATTTATATTGCCACTAAAGTGAGGTGGAAGAGGAGCCCAAATCCAGTTGCTTATCATTACAACTCTAGATGGAGAGGTAGCAATCGTGATCATTCTATATCTCCCTTCCGGTGAAGGGAACAGAGATTGCTCGATTACGAGTATCCCAAAAAGCCATGACAGCATGCAGGCCATCATCATTAAATAAATCACTCCTATGGCAGACACAGGAAGGGGTCAAGCCATGCATGAGGGAAGAATGGCGGCTGGACACGGACTCGGTGGGATCGAGGAGCATTTCACAGAGCTGACGCCAGTGATATTGGATGTTGATCTTGAATTGTCCCTCTTCGTCCACTGCACCGTCATGCTAAGGCCGCTCTATTTGCCTTGATAGCATGATGGACTTTGCGCCGAGTGGGCAGGTGGTTGCTGCTTGAGGAGCCACCCATAAATTTTCTGTAGGCCCTTGCTTCAAGGAAATCTCGGAGTAGGAGGAAGTTTCGGTGGTGCTTCGCATATTTGAAGTCCTTCTCGATGACTACCAATCCTAATCCTACCCCATAAATAATGCAACCGGCTGACATGGAGTTGCAGGAGGTGGGGAGTGAGCAAGGCACGAGGATGTAGGCGTGCAGCTAGGCTCTCCACTAATGCAGGATACTTTGGACAAGGATGAAGTCCAGACTGGCGATATTTGTTGTAGGCAATTGACCACTCCACAAGTGGGAAGCTCGTCCAATCTCCACTCCAGTTGACGGGGTTAAATACATTGCCATCGGCGGAAATGGTGCTCGCGCAGGAATCCCGTCTGTACATCATGATCTGCAACGCGGCATTATGACCCAGCCGCGGCAGTTTGGCACCAACCATCCGTGCCATGCGCTGCTCATCCAGAAGTGTCTGCCTCTGCTGGACGCAAAAGGAGCAACCTGAGACTGACGTTTGTATCATCGTCCCCAAGTCTTTGGGATTAGATTGCACGCCAGTGGCGAGATCAAGTTCTCATAGGAAGTCCGTCCAGAACTTCAGCGTCTTTGGTGGCTGAGTCCTCTACGGATAGAGCAAGCCTGCCAACATACTGTATGCGCGCGAGCTGGCCCGCCGGTAGCAGGCAATTACCAGCGTCTCCATCCACCCTGGTATGGTCAGCACCGGCCTCGTTGCGAATCCAAGCTGGGGAACCGCGCCTTGATCTATGCGACCAATGTGGGAAAGGTGGTGAAGCCGTCGGATAGTGCTTATGACCAGCTGTGGGCGGTGATGACTGAGAGGACGAACTTAAGGAATGGCAAATACTGTGAACCTATGGGGATCCTATCGTCGAAAGTTGAAAGGCGGCTCGCGATGAGAACTTGGCTGAGCGAGTGGACAGACAAGGCACTGGCAGATTGTATGGCCTAGATTGACCTGCCTTCTCACATCCTCAGTGGTATCAGCAGAGTGCAATGGGAACCATATAATGCAGTTGCTTTGTAATGATTGAACTTGTTAGATCCTAAGAAAGGCACTGGCATAGTATTATCAATGCAGCGCATGTCCGTATGCGGATTATCATTATGTGATGGAGGTAGTCCACAGCGGGGTTGCGTTACCATGACAATGTTGATATCGCCCCTTGCTTTTTCTACAACCTTCATCAACAGAACCTCAAAGTATCCCATCTTCATATACTCCCCATGAACCATGTCAATATCTGCAATTCCATACCGGGAATTTCTTCATGAGAAAGAAGCCGAGTTCTTTGCCTTGATTGATCAAGGCACCATTTCCCCGTGGCTGTTCCCGCATGACTTCCTCGTGCTGGTCATCCCTATTTTGGTCCTGCTGATTCCCGTCAAAGGCCAGTCATGGGTCATCAAGGCCAGATACTCAGCATTCGGACTCGTATGCTCCCTTGCCATCAAGAGCCTGCTGCACACACGTTGTCTGACTGGCGGAGGCACCGTAATTGGCTTCTACTATGTCTTTATTATCATCTGGAGTGCCATCTTCCTTCTCCTCAAGGATGTCCAGAAAGATTGCTTCCGGATTGAGAGGTCTTCATCAAATGGGACCCTCTATTGGCAAGGCTATCCAGACTCGATATGCCACCGACTGAGCTGGCTACTGGATATGTTCAGCAGTCTGCGCGGTGCAGGCTGGAACTGGAGGATCCCTGGTCTACCTCCTCTCCCAAAGATCAGTCAGACATCCACAGACGGCAGGAAGCTACCTCAGTACGGGACATCCTCGAATCTCGTTCGGATCTCGTTTCTGAGGACAGCCCGCTACTACCTCCTTATGGATATCTTGAAAGTCCTCACCATGCTGGACCCTTACTTCTGGGGGCTCATTGATGCTGCTCCTCTCTACCCTCTTGATCAGATATATCGCTTCTCGCCGGCACTCCTCAGGCTCTTCCGCACAGTGGTATCAGTCCTCTGGATTCGCACGGTAATGGCGTATATAGCCTCCATGGTGCCTCTCATCATCAGTCTAGCTCTCACTGTCTGTCCGAGTCTTATCAAATGGACTCGTGTACCTCTCAACGCACCATGGCTATACCCTCCTTTGTTCGAGAGCTTTTACAATTTCGAACCAGTCTTCGACTATGGTCTTGAAGGGTGGTGGGGAAGACGTTGGCATCAGGCATACCGATATGCATTTTCAGAGACGGCGCGTCACTTCGTCTCCTGCAACTTCAAAAACAACGATACGGCCAGATTTCTGAGGCATTCTATCGCTTTTATGTTGAGTGGACTGGTTCATTTCTGTGCTATTCATACGCATTTTGTCCCCGCAGATTCTGTGCACCTCGGAGCCTTACTCTTCTTCATGCTTCAACCGTTGGGTATGCTCTTTCAGAGAAAGTTACGAGCAGTGTTATTCTCGGAACGAAGCATTTGCTGGAGATGGTTCAACCTCATCTCGACATATGCGTGGTTATACCTTGTTATCGCACCTTTTTGTGACGAACTGGCTGCCGCTGGGACATGGGCATATGATGAGCCTTGTCCGATCAGTATTATTCGAAGATTAGGCTTGATTGAGGGTGAGGGCTGGTTGGTAGGAACGAGAAGGTATGTTCGGGTTTGGACAGGGGAGAAGTGGTGGCAGACAGGGATTCAGATTCTTTGATTATATTTTGCTTAGTATTCTCAGTGACCCTGTTTGCTTCCACGATGCTATGTTAAGATCATAGAGCCTAAGTTAGTATGTTGGCCGGCTCCCTGTGAGTATAGATGTGTCACCGGGCCGAGATCCAGTCAAATGTTAAGCACGCCATGGCGGGGCATCCTCAAAGCATAAATCTTCTGCCAAAGCATCATCCGATCATCTTCATAAACAACCACCACCATGGGTTCATTATCTTCACAGTCCTTCACAGCTATTCCTCTTCTCGACTTCTCTCTATCCGCATCGCCAGACACAAAACCTCGGTTTCTCTCGGAGTTGCGCAATGCTGTGGTCAGTGTGGGGTTCTTCTATCTCGTCAACACCCCAATCGCTCCTCATGTCCAGCAGGCATTCATCGAAAAGTCACTGGCTCTATTTGATCTGCCGCTAGAAAAGAAACTCGAGATTGAAATGGTCAACAGCAAGCACTTTCTAGGATATTCCCGCCTTGGTGCGGAGACGACCGCATCCAAAACTGATTACCGGGAGCAGTTCGATGTATGTCTGGCCGTAGGCAACCAGGTATGGAGTAGACTAACGATGATATAGTTTGCAACAGAACTCCCAGCCCCAGGGCCAGATGAGCCCCTCTACAGGAACATCCGAGGACCAAACCAGTGGCCCGATGAAACCGCCATCCCGGGCTTCCGGCAGGCAATCGAAGCGTATCTGGCCGAAATCAGTCCCCTGGCAGAGGCGTTCAAGTCCCTCATTGCAGAAGCTCTGGATCTTCCATCAAACGCTCTGTACCCCTTCTTCGATCAGCCCCAGCAGCACAAACTCAAACTGATCAAGTATCCCCCACCAAGTAGCACTTCCCAGTTGCAAGGCGTAGGCGCGCACAAGGACTCGGAATTCCTCACCTTCTTGCTGCAGGCGACCCCACACACGGGGCTCGAAGTGCAGAACAAATCCGGGGATTGGATCCCTGCGCCACCGCTGGCCGGCTCCTTGGTGGTGAATATCGGACGGGCGCTGGAGGCTGTAACGGGGGGCGTGTGCACGGCCACCACGCATAGAGTGAATCTCCGGCCGGAGGATTTCGCCGACGCTGAGGGAAAAGCGCTGGGGCCGAGGTTCTCTTTTCCTGTTTTCCAGGGGATGAGTCTGGAGCTGTGTGCGGAGGATATCCACCTGGATATTCCGGCGCATATTAGGGAGCTTGTCAGGGATCAGCAGGTCCGCTCGGATGCGGAGGCGACGTTCAATCGAGCGTTTCGAGGAAAGACCGGAGAGGGAACGCTCATTCATCGTATCACTAGTCATCAGGATGTGGGACGACGGTGGTATCCGGAATTATTGGAGTGGGCGTTAAAGGAGAGACAGGGTTAATTCATTAGGACTTGGCACACAGTCAAGACCCGGACTCTTACAGTGAGAATACTGAAGCTGTATGCAATGAATATTCATCTACGGAGTAAGTCTGGGTGACGACGGAAAGGACACGGTTGTGCATGGCTTTTGGGCCAGAAAGTGTGGCCTTTCCACTCTGTGAATCGCCGCTTTTATGAGAGCTGGCCGCCCTTACTCAGTTCGTCCTAGCGCCCTTAACACCCCAGTCAATGGACTTCACAAGATGAGCCCAGCGCGTACATCATGAGTACAAGCAGCAGAGCAATCATGGACAAACAAAAAAAAAAAACATAAAAGGGCCTTCCTCTTCCTTATTGAGATGTTGCTATCCAACATGTTCAGAGTCTTCAATATCGTGTTGAAATGTTTTGATCAGTCTGCATACAGGCTTATTCAGTCCCAATGGCTCGAAGCAAAACAAAGAAGGCCGATATTGACTGGAACAGCTTCGTTCAGCAACCCGAGCCCAAGGTTGAGGATGATCTCGCAAATACTACTAAGGACCATATTTGCCTTGTGAAGCGAAATTTCCAGAAGTAATATTCTGCTGTATAAACTTGTCAACTACTCGTCTAACTTAGACTCCTAGGTTCACATCAAAGCTCCAACCGCCAGACTATGCTTATTGACTGAAGAATATTACTTTGAGGGTGATCGAAGGATTCCTTCGCTGGTATCTTGATAGCCACATTGTTGAATATCAGTCTGGATTTTTGGTCTTTGCGCGATACTGGAGAATCTTCTGGTGTCAAGAAATGGAGAGTCTCTTTCCTTACGCACTGAGGCGTAAGATGACCATGGTAAGCGAACATCCAGGAGACAAGGATCAAGCTGATTTTGCTAGCTTGTATGCACCACACTCACCGATGAGTACGAGCTTGACTTGGGAGCGAAGACTCAGCCACCAGTCAACATCGACGATCTCCTCTTCAGTACGTATCATCTCATGGCTGTCACCAAAGTGCAATTTGCCACGGTACGATGTCGACACCAGCATAGTACATTGCGAAAGATGATGACCTCTACTTCTGCGCGCCCTGGAACGCTCATCGAGTCGTCAGGTTACATGAGAAGCAACGACGCGCTGAAATGGAAGGATATCGAACTCTATACGGTGAAACACCCGGACGATCCAAACTGTCAGGTCCTTCTTATGCGAGTCAAGCATAGGTTAAATAAGGGCAAGAGAAACCGGGGCATCCCGTAAGTCTAGGTTCTTGATCAGGTTGAAATTAGCTAACCTTTCAAAGGCCAGTGTACACATACACTGAACGGAATGATAGCCTCGGCCTTTGTGTTATCCAAGACATACTAGAATATGCATTTCTTGACAGTGCTTTTGCCAGTGAGCGTATCAAGAAGCCTCGAGATATCTGGCTCTATACCCATGTCCCAGACCATCGACTCAGCACCCCCATCCACTTCAAAGAGAGCATGAAGGAAATCCCGATATTTCGTCGCCCTGTGAAGGATTCCGAGGGAAGATGGATCACTCATCCCACACTAGCTTACCAATACGATCGAGCGCAGGAATATGAGATTGCCACCAGCAGGTCAGCAGGTTTTAAGACTCCCGGCTCTCTTTACAAATATCGGAAAGGAGCTGCGGCTAATTTGAGTAAGGAATGCCCCTTACCTGACATCGATTACGAGTTGACATATCTGCAGAACATCTCGATGAACACTCCCGGAACATTATCATGGGCCACAAGAGAAGTGGTACCTTCGCCTACTATGTCCAGGTCCAGGATGACACCCAATCAGCCTTTATGGAGACTCCCGCAAGAGATGCTTTAATTAAGCTGGCTACCAATTTGACAGCTGCGCAAGACAGCAATTTCGCGTCGTAAATCAGCTTCTCATTGGCATCTCCAGGTAGGGTGATTTGCTGGACAACTTCTTGTACCATATTCATCGGCCGAAGGCCCGCTCGGAGATAAGCGTCAGGAAGCTTGTGGGCAGCTTTGTATTCGACAACATATAGAAGGCTCCTTTCATTGCCGCTACGAATATACACGCAGTTCTGGTCGGCGCGAAGGGTCCGTTTGTCAACGGGTTGTACCTGTCCCGGCTCCTCCGTAACGGTGTTCGTATGATTTTCAAAGATTATACCTTCACCGAGCGAAAACCGGCTTTGTGCCGCAGGTAAGCCAGCCAACCTATCAATCACTTCTTTAACCGGATTCTCCACTTCTGCCTCCTGGTGTCTCACTAGGTCTGACTCACTCGCCAACGGACGAGCGCATGCCTGCTGTCCTCGGTCCTCGATAACTAAAGAAGTGGAAATACTCGCAGAGGTGCCTCAGAGTTCGGATGGAAAAGCTGGTAGATTTCGTCAAAAAACGTCTGTTGCGCTGCGCGGAAATCCCAGGGACGAAGGAACGTGGGGCACACACGGCCGACTGGGCTTGTGATAGAGCCTTTCGTCGTCAGCGAGCGGTTGGTCTGAACAGTAAGAGGTTTCGTTAAGCAGCGATGACAAGCTCTCAGGTATTCTGCAAATGTTGTGTTCCGGTTGCGCTCTTCTGCTTGCTCCGCACGTTGCTTTGCGTCGTCTGCACGCCTCCGCTCGTAATCTGCTCGTTCACGTTCTTTCCGCAATAGCGCTAAAAGCTCCTCTTTGCTGGGTGAAGCACCTCCTGAAGACATGGAGAGGCTGGTTAGCTAGGTGTTGAACAGAAAGGTTGTTAGGAACGCATCACTCATGAAGATGGGAGTTGGTGACAGACATTCCAGGAACCATCTTCCTGCTAATGTAACTTCTTGGCATCATGGTACTAACTGTATCGGGGTAGGTCGGTCTCACCGCTTGAGAAATCGTATTATGGGTTCAAACGAGTGGTCATTTACATCCTTGTTGGTATGACCGCTGAGAGTATCGGCCGGAACATATGCAAGGAGAAACAAAAATTGCGGCTGTATAAGGTAATGCATACACAGTACCCCATAGGTAAGCAAGATAGGCGGTTTCCATGGCATACAGTGGAGGAAAAAGAGTGTTGACGCCCCTAGATAGGTCAACTAGACCGCCTGGTTTTAATGCCGGCAAAAGTGCTCAATGCGTTTACAGACAATTCAATATTATCGTCATGGCATCTTTGCGCGAAGACTGATCTTCCAAAATGAGGTGAGAAAGTTCTCATTGAATGAAGCTATTTCCATGCTAAGATTCGTAAACCATAGCGACAACAACTGCTATAGACATTGATGGTCATGAGGCAGGGTCCAGCAAAGTAAAGCGGTAAGTCGTGTCTGAAGAGCTCCATGATCCATACCGATCATTAACTCCCACGTCAACATCATCGTCGGAGTATCTACATAACCATAGGATCTAATATAACATGACCACGTCGCATTACAGATTGATCCCATATACTTCCTCACTACTTCCGTAGCTTATGTCTAGCGCCATCGACTGTTCAGTCCCACTCCTTCTCAGGAAATTCAGATTCAGCTTCAATGTGCATATCGGCCGCTTCTTGGACTTTTCTTCCCGATTTGTTGGCATTTTCCTTGGATTTTAGCTAGAGCTTGTACAATAAGCGCAGAGGGCATAACTTACTCTCCCCTGATCTTGAGGAAATGTGGATTGGATCACCCGCATCTCGTCGCGACAATGTCGGACAACAGTAATATGGACCACCACCAGTCCAGACTTTCTGGCTATCCAGGACAAGAGCTTCATCATATTAAGGTTCAGGATAAGACAGGTTCAGGGTTATTGAGGTAACGTTTAAGAAAACTCTTGAACATTAACATGTTACTTCGGCGACCTACGAAGAATAAATTCTTATAGCTATCTGGTAGGCCACGGTATCCGGTACTTCGAGAAACTGTGGCTCCTTTGCCTGCTGAGGTGTACCTATTATTTAACCCTGGAGGGGGACGCCATGCATGGTGGACCACGGCGGCACCGCGCTGAGTCTTTAGTAGTTACCTGTTCTTAGTCGTCTGGGGCCATTTTTCGTCTTTTTCCTTGCTCAACGAGATCTAACTGCCACTAATACATGTTGTGTGGAGGGTCTAGTGTTGATGTAGTATTTAACTAAATGCTTTCGGGCGCCATATTTTTGATATGCTGTTCGATTATGATTAGCAAATTCTTATTGACAATGTATATCAAATGCTTCTTGGGGGAAGGTGAAAGGGATCCTCCTCATTTTCCTAGCAAGCGGAAACCTTTTTGCAGACTTGCAGTACGATACAAAAATCGAGCGGCTTCCCGGTATTTGGAGATTCTGCCAATATTTTTCAGAAAACTTTCTCTTGCGCTGGGGCTCATATCGCGATTCGTTCTGATCAATGCCCGGAGCTAAACCGAACTCGAGGAGGAATGTCAACACCATCGTGCTTTCATGTTTGGTGGTCTGTCTGATCAACCTTCGCTTTGCTATGTTCAATCTATCTTCTAGGCCTTACTGGGCTAAGTTTTGCTGCTACTTGATTGTGCATGAAGCGAAAATGACATTCACACAAGGTGACTAACTAACCGATGAATCTGTGCTTTGCCGCTGGTGACGGCCGTAAAGGCCATGCTGGATAACACTCACGCTCCCCTATCTCGTGCTTCTTTAATTCCAACTGGGCTGAACCACTGTTTCATGACAGTCTCGAAAGTATACCTTTTATCGACAGTTTGCCTAAGATAGCTTATACCATGCGCAGCCATTCTCCCCGCCTCGTCATCCTGAGCTTGTCACAAACAGCAGAGTTACTCGGGCGATGTGTACTATTTCATCTGGAAATCCCGTCAAAGTAATCGAGGTCTTTAAGCAAAGGGAAAACAACGGTGGTCAAAACCGACTCGTCAAACTGTGGATCTTCAAACCGTTCTCCCTTGTTGCGAGACCAATAAAGGCACTCTTTTACAACGTCCCCGTAGTTTGATCCGCTTTCATAATAGACATTCCTCAACACCCGTGTTGCAGTATTGAAGCGCAGCTGAGACTCACTCGGATCCTGGTCCTCCGGTCGACAAAGTGCCGAAATGGTCTTACCCAGGGACAACTCAATGAGGGCGACAGCCAGTGGAAGAAGAATCTCATTCTGAATCCGACATGTGCCTGAATCCATGGAACGCGATGAAACACCATTGTCACCGTGTGTATGTAAAGAGCCCATAACCTGCCAGACTATGTACGGATGGTCGAACATAGTATACCTCTGTTGCAGGTTCGGAGCAAAGAAGACATCTTTAGTTGCCCACTCCGGTTTCAGCCAGCTCCCTTGAAGCTGTAGGACGCCACATGCAAGGACAGCAGCCAGGAACAACCGATCCCTTCGGCTCAGGGCATCTGAGCCCTGGGAAGAGGGAGGGCAGCTAGGATCTCCTGTAAGGAGCGTAGCGCCATCTCTTGCTTGATGCTACGTACGAGACGCAGGGTGAAGCGTGTATCACTGGTCTGGTCCTTTATGTACCCAAAACCCCCCTGACCTGAGTGGGAATCGGCAGTTCCAGCGGTACAAAGCACAGAGCAAAAATCACTGATTGGCCTAGGGCTTTTCAATGCTTTGTCCATGCCTTCCATGCAAATGGTGGTGGAGCTCATTGTAGGACACTGTACTTTGCATTTGCCCTCCGAAGTCGATGCTGAAGTCCCCTTGAGATTGATTGAAACAGTTTGCTCGATTCTCTCGGGTTGTAATTCGACCTCATGCCATTGGTCGAAGGTATGCAGCCTCTGGCCTTTATTCGCTGAAGAGAGCATTAAGAGGAAACGGCTTTTGTTTCCCAGATGATCCGCATGTCTGGACCCCTGGACGGTTGTATCCAGCCGGAAACAGACTGTGTGATCGTTTCTGCATGGGAATTTCAGGCCTTGGCCCTGCACCAAAAGATCATGTAAAGCTCGTGCATGTCGCCGGGTCTCTTGATGGCGTCTCAGGCCGCCTTTCCACCGGGCTGGACCTGATCTGGTTTGAGCCAGTTGATGTGACTGATCGCTCAGGGTTTTGAGAATCTGACTTGCTTTGTCGATCCTGTTTAGTATATCCTCATAGATCGCTTTGGACAGTATCTTTCGGAATTTTATTTTGCCTAATGACTTGATCGACGCAGCCTTGAAACTCAGTCAGACTCGATTAGCCTCTGGTAAGGACGGTCTCTCCGGAGTGGATTTATACCTTCGAGTAGTCAGGCGTATACCGGTCGAGTTTGTTGGAAAGCCCCTCTAGAAGGCCGCAGAGGCCCGTCAGAGTCCCTGTGAAGACATTGTAGTCCCGACCAAGCCTCTCAGCCATCCTCCTCTGGAATTGCGCATCTTTCCACCCAGGGCCACCCGGTTTGCTGATTAGCTCTGATCGATCGTCGTGGTCGTCGACGACATCCTGTAGGAAGATCTCAAGGGTGTTGAGGAAAATGGCATACTGGGCGCTTAACGTGCTGGAATACCCCTCCAACTCCCGCCGGTATCGTCACAGTCCTTTGATACTCTCCAACCCACGGACGTAGTTGTCCAACTGATTGACCACCAAAGGTAAGACGACCAAAGCCAAGCCCGCAACTTCCGCTCCAGTCATTACAGGCTAGCTTGCAATATTGGTAAGACACAGTTGATGGAAGGGTGATATGGATGTGAGATTCACATAAGGTGGGCAGCCTGACGATTTAACAACAAATATTACCCCGCAGTCAGCCTCAGCCTTGCGTTGGCGCCGGTCTCGCAATCAGCCTCCTATATAGATGCAATCGCTCAACACCTGTTGACAAAGATCCAGCATTCCCACTTCCTCTACACTTCTCAATAATGGACGGTATTTCCAGAGTGCTAAATCAGTGCCTGGAGGACTTCACGGCATTGACAGACTCGGATGCCCTCACCCAGTATGTAGCCGAAGTCTCCCATCAGCGCTGGCTTGACGAGCTAGGTCGACTCCGTGTCTGGTCGGGAAACAATGGCGCGCATGAAGTCGGCCAGGCATCACTGGACTATCGACTTCGCGATGCTTCGCATCTAAAAAAGGAGACCATCAAACTCTTGAATCGGATGTTGCAGGTCCTCCAGGAAGTGAGGGAGGTGGTTGACGACGGAGGAGAAGAGAATATCGATATTGAATTCGACGACGAAGGTGACGGTGACGGTCACGACGATGACGCCAGGGCCACAACGGATAGCATGACGGAGATACAACATCTGTACCAGAGTCTAGTCGATATTATCAATCTCCTATTCCAGATCTCCATGGCCATCCGCAGGCCCGCCGACCACGATCGCCTCCTTAACATGAAGATTGAGAATGCATCATTCTTCGAACCATGGGCCCAGCGACACATCTCGCACAAGTATCCTCATGCCGAAAGTGACATCGTTAACCGACTCAGTACCGCTATAACGAGGCAGAAGGCTATCTTAAAATATCGCGAGCGGCACAGAGCAAAGCTTGGAAAGGGGCCGTTCGAGGGAATCGAAACGGACTCGACGAGGCTCGCAGACGCAGAAGCAGCAGAAATGACCGCCGGGTATGACCAACTGTGTTTCCGTGAGACGGATTCCAGCTCTGATGGGTCCCGGACGTCATACACAGCAAGCTTGATCATGACACTTGGTGCAATCTCAGTTCCAAACCCGCCAAGAGAGTCACTGGGCAAAAAGCCATTCGAATGTTCCTACTGCTTTTATACTATTTTCATTAGACACCAGGAGGACTGGGCTCGCCATGTTTTCCGGGATCTGATGCCGTATGTTTGTTTATCAAAGGACTGTATTATTCCATCAAGGCTCTACGAGAGTCGGAAGCAGTGGTTTCGTCACATGCTTGAGGTACATTCGGAAATGGCTGTAGCTGGAAATGGCTTCATCTGCCCCTTATGTCAGGCTAGCTTAATCACAGGTGACCTTTGAGGGGCATATTGGCCGACATCTGGAGGAGCTGGCGCTATTCGTCTTGCGTCAAACGGATGTAGGTAATGATATGCACTCGGAAGTGGCATCACCGGCCGCACCTGTGATTGTAGGGGTGGATGCGTGTGATCAAAGTCCAGGGTCGGACGGTATCAAACCCGACCTTAGAACTGATAGAACTCATGAGGAAGCTGGCGGAGTGGGACAGGATACACAGAGTTTGAAGGAACCGTTTCATCATGAACCAGCAACTCCCTACGACATCCAGGAGAGTTATCGTGCATCAGCCGGGGAATACAGTTCTTCGGTCATGGACACTCTCACGACTGATTTTGCACAAATGGGAACACGTTTCCTAAGCCAGGGATCCGGCGGCCTAAACAGCGATATTTTTGAAAGTCATGATCATCACCCAGCAAGTCCATGGTGATAGGATCCGCAGTAGAAACACTCGAAAGTCAATGGAGGCCAGATCTTCAGAGGTGGGAGAAGGGTCCATTTTTAAATCTCAATCAGGAACTAGGAGCCGCAGCCATATTACCCTGTGACTTTTTCACTCGAGGTATCTTTCGTTGTTTGCATTTACACAGGGAGCTTGTATAGCAGACCTTGAGATTTGCTCAACAACTTTCCAAATGCGGTAAGTGTACCCTAGCCGACTCCGACTCCGACTCCGACTAGTACTTCGCCATTTGCTCCACTGCCATTCTTATCTTCTTACACTTTCTTGAGCAGAATTGCAGCATTGGTGCAGTGTCTGATGCTTAGAGTATCACTTGACGGCGCGGGTTAGCTTAAGATCATACCTTAGTGGGCCGGTCTCCAGCGTCCGTGTCTTCTTTTGGAAATGCCCCTGGTGCTTCAACCTTGGTCAGCAGTAAAAGCTTTGGCACACCCCTGCTCTTGCTCAGTCCACTACTAGAAATGAACCGCAGGCACCCCTCAAGAGGACATGCTTGCGAACGTTGCGCTGAATTGAAAGTCAAATGTGTACCTATTGTGGATTCCAGAACATGTGAGCGATGTCACAGGTTAGGCTGGTTGTGTATCTTTCCAGACAATGTGCCTGGTAAATGGCCTAGGTCAGTCCATTTCCGATAACCGAGGAGTACCAAAGCGAGATAGATTGCTCACCCTGGCTCTATAGGAGAAGTCGGATTGATGATCTGCAAGAAAAGGTCGACAATTTGGCTTCCCGAGTTGGAAAGGTAAGTCACTCCGGTTTCGGTCACAGACATGTGGTCTGAAAACTCATGGCAGCAGAATGTATGGATGGTACCAATGCTCAAATTTGGCAGAACACTTCTTCCTCAATTATAACGGCTCCGCAATCACCACATGCTGCACCAATTACACGGGAGCGTTCAACGACTCAACCTGAGGACACAGATGGTTTTATCTCGAAAGAATCACTCACGGTGCGGGAGGCTAATGGGCTTCTAAGAAAGTTTCGAGAGCACAAAATACATCACTCCCCATTCGTTATTATTCCAGAAGGAATGAATGCTTCTGTTCTTTGGCGAGAGTCTCCCTTTCTGCTCCTGTGTATCCTGACGTCTTGTTTGGAGCATGATCCTGTTCTGCAAGATAAACTGGAGCACGAAATACGAGAGATCATCAGCACTCGATTGATCTTGAAGATGGAGAAGAACATGGATCTCCTCCAAGGACTCCTCGTGCACACAGCCTGGTACCACTATCATTGGAGGTCTTATCATACGCAGGCATACATGTTGCTTCAGATAGCCATCGTGCTTGTTGTGGACTTGGGTCTGGACAAAGACGAAAATTTCAGAATGCAGGCTATACCACAGGATGGTAAAGATTCCGGCCAGGTACATGGACAGGGCATTTATCAAACACCCGCTGAACGGAGGGCTCTACTAGGATGTTATTATCTCTGCTCCAAGTAAGTGTGTCCGTACAGACTATCACCCGCTCCGCACATCTTCTGTGGACGAATCTAATGGCTCACTTATAAATTTGAAGATTGTCGATTTTCCGCCGTCAATTAATCATGCGACACACCCACTGGATCGATCAGTGTGGGAGAAACCTAGCGCTGAAGGCGGAATTTCCGACTGATTCTAATCTCATGGCCTATCTGGAAGTTCAATCACTCGTACGTAAAACACAAGTGATGCTGGAGGTAGGCTTCGACGACCACTCGAATAGTAGTTGTCAAGAGGCCTGGGAGCGGGTGTTCGAACTTATGGAGAAGCAGAGAATCGAAGAGAGACTGCATGGCTCAAATGATAATTGTATTTCATCCTCCCCATAAGCTCCTCAATTATACAAGGCATCTGACTTGCGAGCAAATAGGGTCGATCAATATTCGGAAGATATCTCCTTCGTCATTCAGGTATGCATCCGCTCTTGCTCTTGTGCGGGAGGAGGTTATGTTATCCTCCCGTATATGCTCATCTTTGGATAGAATGATCTTCTCCCTTATGCTCCCCAGGCTGCTTTCGACGGTCGAAATGTTCATGACGTTTGCCTCGAGAATACTCGAGTGCAGATCTTGCGAGAGATCACGGACTGGGCCACAGCTCCTTCCAGAAGTAACCGACAGCCAATATTCTGGCTTAACGGCAACGCGGGGACTGGTAAATCGACTGTTGCAAAGACGATCGCGCCAGCCTGGCTCAGAAGGAGAAGTTAGGGGGCAGCTTCTTCTTCAACATCGCCGATAGCCAATGTTCCGGTCTTGACGCAAACCATCTCATCCACTATCAACCGAGAATTGGCAGGAGAATTCTGGACGCGGTAAAACAACATTACATGATAAAAAAGGCTTCTTTCGAATCCCAATGGGAACGACTGATACTTGGCCCCATTGCAGAGGCCGGACCTGTAGACTCGCCAATCGTTTTTGTAATAGACGCACTGGATAAGTGCATTGGGGGCAGGAAGAGGCATGTCGATATACTTCTCACAATGCTGGCCGAATTAGCTCAGGATGATCAGGTCCAACTGCGTGTTTCATATCGAGCAGACCGGAGGCCCTTCGGTTCCATAGAATCGCAAACGAAGGGCTCCATGAAGTGAACCTGCATTATGCCGCAGACGGATAGCGCGATGTGTCGTACTTCCTTCATTGGCGACTGAACCAGATCCGGGCACTATTCTGCCCTGAGGATAAGACTTGGCCAGATGCCGAAGACGTTTTGGCAATACAAAGGCAAGGAGACAAGCTCTTTGTTTACGTTGCTGCAGTTTGTCGTTTGATCCGGGAAAGCGAGCTTGACTACGACCGCAAGCTCAAAGACATAGCACGAAGCACCAACTCGGGTGTTGATGCGCTCTTTGATATCCATCGACGCATCCTCTTCAATGCTATCCCCCCCATCATAGTGCTAGTCCACTAGATCCCTTCTGCGCGGCCGTTACACGTATATTAGGAACGGTTGTTGTACTGCGGGAGCCGCTATCCTCTGCTGAGATTGATCAGTTGTTGAAGTGGGAGCCTCCCCATTTCCCTGCTCGGAGAATTATATAACTCATGCCATCGGTCTTTGAAACGCTTAACAAGGATTCTATGACCCCGGAGACTGCCATTCGACTATACCATCCGTCGTTTCGAGATTTCTTTGTCCACAAGTCACGAATTGGAGAACCTTTTTGGACCACAGCAGCTGCAGCGCACACTTACGTACTGAAGAATTGTTATGGGATAATGGACGCCACGCTCAAGATGGATATCTATGATTTGAGCGACCCGGGGATCCTAGCCAAAGAAATAGATGCAGACTCAGCGGATCGGAATCTCTCTTCGCATCTACAATATGCATGCCGCTACTGGGTTTACCACCTTCTCGAAGCCAATTTGGAGCACTGTTATGAAGCCACAGTACGATTCCTAGAGGTTCATTTCCTCCACTGGGTAGAAAGCATGGTCTTGATGGGTAAAATACCTGAGGCAGTTTTTTCGATTACAGCGGTGCGTGATCTACCTACGGTAAGTAGTGCGATAAACGTCGAGAGGTACACTACTGATTAGGCTGCTGCCAGAGTCACCTTCAGCCCTATCCTAGGCTGGCTGCATTGATATCTGATGCCAGTCTGTTCCTCCTCAACTGCCGGTCAACCATCGAGAAGGCACCACTCCAACTTTATCATTCCGTAATTTTGTTTGCTCCAGAGAATAGTCTGATAAGACAGAACTTCCTGCGCTCGAAAGACTCTGAAGATTCTCTCTTCTGGTGTTTCTCAACCTTCCCAAGATACGAGAACTGGGATTCATCAACACGGCGGCGCAAATATGATTTGGTGGGACATACAGGCAACATTTTGACATTGTCGTTTTCGCCATGTGGCAACCTTCTCGCATCGTCATCTTACGATTGCACGGTACGAATATGGAATTTGACGACGGGCCAATGCATCCAAACAATATCTACCCGCGGTAGACTGGTCAAGGCGATCTTAGTTCTCGATGGGGCAGACCAATTGGCAGTTGGCTCACAGGACGGCGAAATTGGCTTGTGGAATCCAGCCGAAAGGAAGTATCTCACCGTCCAGGGGCACACTGACGCTGTAACGACTCTGGCACTCTCTCCTCCCTGTACGCTTTTGGCGTCTGGGTCTGCAGACAAAACTGTGCGGCTATGGGCCTTACCCACATTGGAATGTACCTTTCTCTTTGATTATCTTTCCCACGAAGTTAAGTCCCTTGCATTCTCTCGATGCGGGAACTTCATTGCATTCGCCTGCTCTAAGCAGACTGATGAATACAGGATCAATGATACAGTGAGGTTTCCTGTGAAACTAAAGAGGCTCAGCGACCATTATTGCACAGATCGGGCAAACATAACTCTACGGCAAGTCTCCGCGGAAGGGACGTTGACAACTGTATTGAACAGCGGGCCTGAACTGTGTATTCACAATTTCAAGTGGGAAAGAGGGAAAATAAACGGAATGGCCATATCTCCAAGTGGTCAGCGCCTTGCTGCGCTTTCCCTCGCTGGAGTGGCTGCATACTGGAATCTAGAGACGGGGGAATCCCACCTCCTAGAGCCGGTGTTAGGTAAATTTCCTCGCACGTAACTCACTTTCTGTGGAGAAGATCGCCTTGTAGCGGTGAACGGGTCCGGGAATTTCATTGTCTGGGACATAGGGGCAGGGGGCCGTCATATTATCATCGAGCCAGTCAATGGTGCTCCCGGAGCCATCGTTGCGTCCTCGTCTTCGCAGATCCTCATCTCTGAACAAAGGTACGGAATGCTCTCAGTATGGGACTTGGCGGAGAGGAGGCACGAGGTAAATCATACAGTTTTTCATGATCAGCTCGGGAAGCTTCGTTTCTTGCCAGACGGAAGCCTTGCTTCCGTTTCCGAGACTACTGCGTGCATTTGGGACACTCCCACGTTGCAAATGAAGAATGAGTTCCACTGTCCAGATATTAAAATTGGCTATTATGAGATCTCGCACGAAGGACTGCTGGTGAGGGCCAAATATAGTACTATCTATATCTTGGATCTGAAAACAGGCGCATCCTGGTGTTGTCCGCGGATCCATCGTGGCCAGATCACCTTGCTGAAACTAGGATTAAATGGTCTATTGGCATCCGGTTCCGAAGATGGTCTTGTTTGTGTGTGGGATATCAATACTGGCCGGCCACTACATCGGTTTGACATTCACCAGGGCGAAGTATGCTTTTACACTGCGTTCCTCAACAGATTTTCGTGTGGGAACTTGCCACAGGCGTATGTCATTTGTTGCGAGGCCATACTTATGTTTGGGGCATCGCATTTTCGGAAAACGGGAGGTTCATCTCCTACGAGGGAGCCGGCAATGCTCGAATATGGTCGACAACAACGTGGACCTGTGAAGCGGCTCTATCGGGTGTGTTCACCGGAGTTATACATTCGTTTCCGGGCAGACGCCGACGTCTCGCCAGACGCCTCAGACGCCTAGTCTTTACTCAAGAGCAGATTTATGCTTCCTGGACATATTCTGTCTTTACACATGACCTAAAAACGCAAGAGTGGAAACTCATCAGAGATATTGACTTGGTAGATCCGATCATTCTCGCGGCGCTGGAGCGCGAAGCACTATGGTGCTGCGAGACTGAGGATGAGGTGAACTGGATCAAATACGGTGCACAGCGTCTGCTTTGTCTTCCCAATTATCACTACATAACTGACCACCAGGTTTCCGGGAACACGCTGGCGGTAGGGTATGGGGGTGGTCGTATGATCCTTATCCGGTTTGATTGTGACAAAAACCATCGGCATTTGCATTCCCTTGTTTGTCGATAACTGACCTGTGAGAAGAGTATACTTTGCAAAGGTGAGAGAAGAGATGCAGGAGAAATGGCCGTTCTCAAGTTGTACTCCAACTATATAGTTATTAAAGGACTACAGACTCTTTCTTCTGAGCTGTTCGACTTAATGAGAGCCCGGTATCTCTTGATATAATTCCGAATATAAGCCACTGATCTACTTGACCACTCTTTAATTGCTAATATTATACATAACATGCTTGGACAGCGGTCATGGGGAACGCTCTGAGCCACCGAGCCAGCTGCCTTATGCACTTCGTCCTTTGCCGACCTCGATTAAATATTGCAAATATTCGTCACTACACCATCCCGGATCACTTATAGTCCCTATGGGAGGCAGAAAGCTCCCCGGACGCCACAGCGGTGCTATGTTAGGTTGATGACTTTTGAGCTGAGATTGGACGTAACTAACTGGCTATGACGCCGAGCCTTAGACATCTAGTTGAAGACCCCGTGCGTGGTAGAATCTCGTACCTTGAATTTTGACTTGTTTCTTACCGAGTAAAACTACACGGAAACTTGACAATTCTAGATGCAGACAGATAACAAGTAAACGATATTGTTACACTAAGCTAGGTCTGTTTGCTACACTGCTTTTCTCGGATGCCTCTCCCACAGAAAACATGCTGCTATAAGACCGAGAGCCGTGAGTGCAGTCATGAATATATTCTGTAAATTATAGCCCTCAGCAAACGCCCTTTTCACTGCCGCCTGCTGAGACGGAGTCAAGTCCTGGATGGCAGACAGCGAGTCATAGATTGTCTGCGCCTGCTTCGGGGAGACAATAGACAGGATGCGAGGCTTCACATGATTATTGAGGATTGTAGAACTATTATGAATTAATAGGCGTATCAAATGGGAAAGGGAAAGACTTATACCAAATCGCGGGTGATATTGTCCCTCCCAGCACGCGGACCTGCGTTATGGCACCCATCACGACCGCTTAAATGGAGTTAGTAAAGCAGGGGCTGTGGTTAATTCTTCAATTCAGTCAAAACTTACCCATGTGCTTTTCTCCCGCCACTGCACGAGCGAATGTGAGGATCGTGGTCAGGCCCATTCCAAAACCTATCCCCATAATCACTTCAAAGCCGTACTGCGATGGAGGAACCTTGGTCTGATCAGTAGGGTATGAGCAAGACAATCCAACTCTAATCAACTGCAAGATTGACGCCCCGAGGACAAGGTAAAAGGGTGGGATTTTCAAATTGCTGGTCAAGAACCCAGACAAGGCTGTTGCAAATGGGGATGCGAGCAACAATGGTAGCAAGGCGAGACCGGCCCTGAGTGGGGACAGACTGCTCACAGCCTGCGCTCTCTGCGGCACGTTGACAACGATGGCCACAAACGGGAAGCCGACAAAAAAGGCTGTACTACTCCAAGTCAATAAGAGGGCACTTAATTCAAGTCTAACCGCAACTTACAGCAGCATGGCTGTCAGCAGCCTATCCTTGAGAATGCTAGGAGGAAAGACTGGTTCCTGGACCGATCCTCTCTTCTGAAGGAAAGCCTCCCAGCTTACGAGAACGATGGCAGCGATGATTGCCAGCACCACCGGGGCAATAATGGCGGCGCTGTCCCACGGGTACCGACTTCCTCCTTCCTCCAAAGCAAAAACAAGTAGAACGGAAGAGGCGAGCAACAGAAACATGCCACATATATCCACTCGGGCAAACTCCGACTTGGACAGCTTGGTCCGCAGGCGTTTGCGCAACGTCAGCCTCGAGCTCGTCTCAGATGTTGGTAGACACCACACTATCAAGACAAGGGCCACGAGGCCCCCTGGAACACTAGTACTGGTTAACCTCATACTGTGAAACACTTGCAGTCAGCTTACTTAAAAAGGAAGACCCATCTCCATGAAGAATGCGTGTTGATAACGCCACCAAGGACGGGGCCCATGACACTGGCGACGATAAAAACAGTTGATACAATGCCCATGTACTTGCCATATTTCTCGGGGGTCACCATGTCCGTCGCAATCACCATGACCATGGAGTAGATCCCCGACGCCCCAATACCCGGAATGCACGGAATATAATCCTAAGCCACACATCAGCATTGCTGGATGGCTGGGTGGGGCGTGTTTTATAACTCACAGTTCAACAATCGCGTTAGAGATACCGCAGAGAAGGGAAGAAAAAGAGAAAATAATCAGGGCGAGGATGAGCATTGTCTTCCTGCCAAAGATGTCACTGAATTTAGCGAAGATAGTGAGGAATCCTAGACCTGTTCGTCAGCTGTTCTTTTATAAGTTTATCTTCTCCCTGTTACCAGTTACTCACCCGTGTAGGTTAGTAGGTATGCAGTGACAACCCAGTCCTTAATCAGGAAGCCATTCAAGGCGTTGGTGATCGAAACCAACGAGGTACTGACAACGGTGGTCTCGATGGTGGAGAGGAAGAGGGCAATCCAAACACTGTGTAATGAGTTTGCTGCCTTGCTTGCCTCAGGAAGCGCCTAACTTAACATACCCAATTGTTAATAGCTAAAGTTTCCAGCCTGTCAAATACTTTCGGGGCGACTTGTTTTCTTGCTCCCCTTCTGTACCGGATTTGATTGCCACAGGATCAGTCTCTGGTTCCGTCGGCACTGACTTTTGTTGACTCATAGACTGACGGCGGTCCTCCTCCATCTCAAGTAAGGTAGGGGATGCATTCTCGATTGTCTGCTCGATGGGCGCCATAACAGCACCTCGAGAAGAGCGATGTTGCCGAAGACGATGATGCAGGGGAGCGATTTGAAGAGGAAAAGACCAACGTGGGGTTGCAATTTATTGAGAAAATTACTAGGCGCATTATGGTCAGGGATTAGACGGGGGTTTAGAGCCTACTGGCTGATTGATCATAGGGAGTATCTGTGCCACACGCACCCACTCCGGCGCGCACCGTAATCACCATTTTCACCGTAATCACCAATTTTGAATAAAATCATATTTTTGAGGCTATTCCCTACGCCTATCTATACAAAAAAAAAATCACCATTCTAATCTGCTCCCTCTGCTGATTCATTTGATACCTCATTCTCTTGTGTAGGTGCTGGTGGTGGGGGTTTACCATACACTTTCTCCCACTCCCTTTGTAAACGTCTCTCTTGCGCAGCAGCATCTTTGGCCTTCCTTGAAGCAATTGATCGATTTGCATCCCGTAATTTCAAAATACCAGTCTCACTAAGCGGCTTAACCTGCCGCTTAGAGTATTGGCGCCGTAGAGGGGCTTGCGCGGCTCTGATTTGACTGATCGTTTCATTCGCCATAGCCAGGTGCTCAGCGGCGATTCGATTATGTTCAAATATCCGTTCAAGATTCCGCTGTAGCTTCGGTGTAAGAAGATCTGCGTGCTTAGATAGCTTCGCCTGATTCTTCTCAAGGGCCTGAATCGTCCTTGGAGGTGAGATATCGATGCTAGATGAAGATGGCGGCCGAGAGGGCGTAGAGGGAGTAGTCTCACGGAGATCAGGCGCGTAGATATCTGGGATTTGCTCCCATAATTGGATAGCAAGATCATCGGCTATCTTACTGTTAACTGGCCAGATACCACGATCTTTAAAGGCTTCACGGATAATCCGTTGGTTAAAAGCCTTCTCCCGTACTGGTCCAATCACCCGTAAGAATTCTGACTTCCCTACTGGCTCGCCAGCCCAGTAAGATAGCTCGTTGTTCATACGTCGGAAGTGTTGTTTATAGCTTAAAAATGGCTTACCATCCAATGGCTGGCAAAGATGGGTTGTATGAGGAAGGAATCCAAAGGGAATAATGCCGTTATCTTCGCACGTTTGTAAGAATTCAAGGGTAAGATGGGAGCCATGACCATCAAATATAAGTATCCGTCTCTCTCCCCTCTTTGTACGTTCGTTTGTTGCCTTGATAAAGCTTTGAAGCCATTGAACGGCTAGTTCATCTGATATCCAGCCGTTGGGAGATGTCGCTATCGTTGTATTTGATGGTAAAGCCTCGCTATCATTGAACCAGCACTCCATGAATATGCCGCTGCCTTTGAAGATAAACCATGGATCCATCTGCCAACCATCTGCAGCTACGCATTCGATAGCTGTGATATTCTCTCCTCTTTCGGATTCAGCGAGATCAGGGGCACTTTTTGAACCGATTACCTTCCTAGATCTGCCTTCGCCAGGCTGGAAGCCGCATTCGTCAAAGTTGTATACCAACCGCGCTGGTGTATCCTTTTTAACCACGTTTGCAAGCTGATCATACCAGTTCCCTAATAACCCTGCATCTTCAGCCTGGATACGCTTTGATTCCTTCGTCTTTTGCTTCACCGGGCCTAGATTGAGGTGTTCTGGGAGTCGTTTCTCAAAGCGATATGCCCAAGTCTTACCAACCTGTCTAGGTATCCCAGCGCGCTGCAGTGACCGATTTGCATACTCTTCTAGCAGCTTAGGCGTCACCGGCATGTTCCAATCTCGCATTTGAACAATCCACTGTATCAAGGCTTCCTCCTGGTATCCCTCAAGAGCTTTATTGACTGGTTTCCTAGCTATTCGAGGCTGCCTGCCCTTCTTGACGCGGTCACGTAGGGTGGCGTAAGGAACGCCATATTCACGCGCAATCTTGGAGATATTCGGTTTTTTTGGGCCTGAGCGGCTTCGCAGGCCTCAAGGAGGTAAGATTCATTAAATTTAGTATATTTAGGCATGTTGGGTGGATGGAATAGCTTCAAATAGTCAAAATATCAAAAATTGGTGATTACGGTGAAAATGGTGATTACGGTGCGTATGGCACGGATAAGCCGCTGAGGAGTAGGAGAGTGAAGGCCAGGAAGAACAGAGGAACAATGAGCATAATATCATTACATATAGACACGTGATACTCTATCCAGCCGTAGCACAAATGTTAAGTGACAGTTCTGTCCACATGGTAGATGTTTGATCTTGTCAGCTAAAGATTTCTCAGTATGAACAAAGAGTATTTAAGTCTTGCTACTGCGAATAAAGGACAGTCTTCTCATCCTCTCAATAGATTCCAACTGTCACTGACTTCTAGTCATTCAATCAACCCGTCAAGGACAAAGGCTGTCTTTTATTGTATGTTTTAAAAAATGACTTGGACCAACACCAGGACTGAGAGCACCTCACTCCATGACCTTAAATTCCATACAACCACGGCTTTTGCGGCGGATGGCCTCGTGTATGCCGCCAACAAGCTCATCAAAAGTTTCGAAGAAGATGATGAATCAACGACCCATCATATCCTCAAGGCGGGCGTTGGAGCTGCCGTTGCTATCGACGCATTGGTCCGGCTGATGATCCCAATCTGAAGTCATCTCAGTTCCCACACTTGATAAATTCATCAAACCATTGGACTGCTTGCAGGAATGCCTGCTCTTTTGCAAACTTCTTCGCCTTATCCGTCAAGGCTGCGCGAATGGCGAACCCGTGCTCGACTCCACCATAGAGATTGATCTGGTATGGCTGGCCACGATCACGAAGAATGCCTTCTGACTGATGACGTTTTGATGTTGGAAAGATGTCATCAGCCTCTGTGGTTTAAGTTAGCCGCGGCCTGTCCTCACTTTATGTCGACATGACAGACAGAACTATCACTCACCTGCGGCTGCAATGCTCAGGGGCCCTGTAATCGCGCTGAGTTCTTCCAATTCAACGAAACCAGGATGCGCGATGTATCCGACGTCAACCTTTCCCTCTTCGGGCCTCAGAAATCGGACGACGTATTTTGCCTAATAGTATACTTTGTCAGAATCATGATTCGGGGACACATCAAGCCCCGAGCTATTTCGCGTGCAGACCCCGAAGCAATACCCGACCGCCCCAATCTTCTCGCAGCCGAGGTGTGTGCGCATATACTGAATCACCGAGTCGACAATGGGATCCACCCTCTCAGTCGGGTGTCCTTCCAGCCAGCTCATCAGATTAAAAGTCGCAGGCCTATTGAGCTTGACCGGGTCGCCGTGGAACAGGTCGGGCATCGCTACCAGATACCCATTCGCCGCAAATTGGTCAGCAATGAGCTGCGAGTTGATGAATCGGTGACCGATGACGTCCGTGAGGAGGATAACTCCATGCGTGGTCGATCCGTCCTTGGGATATGCGAAATACGTCTCGGCTGGAGAAGGTGAGCTAAATTAGTTATGTGAGGAGATGGAAACATACCACCGTCAATGTCCCGATACTCCCCGGTTGCTTCTCCACTGTGCTTGACCCCCACAGTGCAGCACCTCGCAGGCAAGTTGGAAGTCATCTTGATGATAAACAAGTATTATATTCGAAGACGTATAGGATGAGTAGATGATGAATAGAGGAGGGGAAATGCCTTTATAAATACCTGCGTGCTCCGCTGAACTGGATTACGTATTGCTATTCTGCCTATTGTGTTATCAAACATCTGCCTGAATACGAAGCGGCCGCGCTCCTACTCTTAGCATTGAACCTGAACCAGAGACAAACAAATCACTATGGTTCGGTGCGTTATCAGATATTCCCCTAATTATGTAGGGAGTGGCCTGGAGCAGAATAAATTACCCTTCAGTCAGCATAAATAAGCATGTCTCTACCAAGGCATGCCAGACTATCAAAACGTTATCACACATTCACACTCGAGGCATCTAGTGAGCAGATTGAGACAGGACAAACAAGGCAGGCTATTGGTGATGGGTAAGGGTCTCTCATCATTAATTTTCATGTATCATGTGCCGACCTTCTCGCGTAGTCTCCACAACAGCTGAAATTCAAGACAACATATGGGAAGCAGTGAGAGGGTACCTTCATGAAGGTGTAAAGCTTTCCGAACTGGAGTACCAGTCTGGGCCACACAGGGAGCAGGATCATGAGAATTGGCGTGGGGTCAAACGTAAACAATGTTTCTAAGGCAAAGACCACGAAGAAGCAGGGAATTAGACCAGCAAAAAGCAGCTATATTATTATGACCTTTGCATTCACATAACAATACAAGGAAAACCTAAATCTAGGGAAAAACTTGTATCAAGGTCTATAAATCCCCATTGCTTCGCACACATGGAGTAGCCACCTGGGGTTTGGCGGGTGATTAATAACCTTTATCAAACTTGTATCAGTCAAGTTCAAACCAAGGATATTAGTCAATCACCTACGGCAATAATCATCGTTTCCTTGTCCCCCATCAACGCATTGACGACACTGAGTGATAAATTCCAGAGAATTGTCTGGACCACAACTGAAAAGCGAACGCCGAGGGTCTGCGCCGTCTGGCACGTATGGTCGCAGTTCATAATACCTCCATCCTTCCAAGGACTATTAGCATGACGTTTGGAGTAGCTAGGGAGTTCGGAACATACCGCGCCCTTCCAATGTAGAAGCGCAATAATTCACACCCTCTCTGCATGTTCCAGCGGCCAGAGCCGTCGGAAACGCAGTAACTAGAGAAAGTAGCGCGTAGATGGCCTTCATTGCACTGTGCTGTTCTTGAGGCAGGTCCCTGTCACACCCTGGGATCCGTCTCTGCTGTTCTCTGCTAGTCACTACTTTGGGAACGGGGTCGATATAGTCCCTGGACTATATCCAATACTTGCCTGAGGCCTACCGAGTACCGGCCAGGTAGCCTAACGATGCAATGATACAATGACCCGAACAGGATCAAGGACAATCCAAATGTAACACAAGAACAATAACAGTAGAGATAGAAGCAAGGCCTATTGAGTACGTATACTCAATAGTAAGAGAGTAACTGACGAATCGGACTAGTGAACTTGTACTCAAGTGAGATATTGATATTGAACGCGGAGAACTAAAACTAAGTGTGCTAGATACAACGATAATGAGTGTCCTTATATATCCATAGTTCCTCCAACTGGTAGGTAGAATGGTATATCCTGAGTATAAAGGTGGTAGATCGTATACTCTTGATTCGTGGTCTTGGCATACCATTCATATACCGTTTGGTCACGTGATGTGAGTCAAATGGGTTTCCTCGGAGCAATCCTAATTATACCGCATAAGAACTTGGGTACCAGGAATTGGTTGGTTGTCGCTGCTCCGCGATTCTGCCTATCACATCCGCCTAGCGCTAGTGCGGCTGTGTTGGTGTCGTAACAGTCCCCTGATGTTAGAAAAAAGAGCTAGGTTGAGTTGCTGAAGCTAAATGATCTGGAGTAGAAGTCATGCTATTTATACAGGTAAGGCACGGGAGTGGGACTAACAAATTAGGGCTTTGAAAGTTTAGAAAGTAGAGAAATAAAGTATTCAAGGGGAAGTGAAATGCAGAATATCTCATCAGTGGCGTTTATAGTATGTGATGGTGAAACCATCAGGGTGAACCTTCCGCCCCAATGATTGTAAATAAAAGCTTCTGTCAGCACCTATATCGAGGTGAATAGCTCATCATATTACTGATTACATGCTAAGGCAACACTGTGCAGACAAACAGCAGTGCAGGCCTCATTCATGAGTTGACTGTATTGGGTAAACAAAGGCTCTACTCAAAGGGTAAAAAATAGGTGACAGCTGACTGACTGACACTTACCTCTTAAGAATTTCCCACCTGCAAATAGAAGAGCATATAATATGTTGTACAACCTAAGAATGGTTCTTATCCTGCATAAGACCAGGCACTGTCACTGTAGCACAATCTAGAGAGTTCCCAACTATTGAGTGCGGCTGATCATATTAGATGCCAGTTAAACCAATTAACATTAGTCCCAGCAACCTTTTATACCCTACCTAGTACTCGCTCTCCGATTAGCCTTTTTTCTATATTCCCTGGTTGGGGCCCTAATGTACATTGGATTCTGAACTAGGATGTGTCTAGTTATGTGATTTAACTAAAGCACTTCTGTGACTGCATTACATATTTCAGTTTTTTTAACGCCCTTTAATGTTTGCTCAGGTGCATAAGTTACCGTAATTTTACACGCTGATGTAATAATAGTGATAGCTAACTATTCCGTTCCCTAGCTGGTGAAACTTACTACTGAGTATATTCATTTGGCCCATCTCAAACACGACATAAAATGGCTCTTTTTGGATGTCTTAGTGTATGTCTGTATCTCCAAGCATGGCGAAAATGTAGCACAGGTCAGAGAATGGACAGGAACTCATTCTAGGCAGGGCAACGCAGCATGTTTTTGAGTCGCGCAAGGCTAGGCTTGTAATCCTTATACGAGGACAAACAGCCCTTTGTGGCGCATGCTCTAAGAAGATTATGTGAAGGATATCCCCGCACACGTAGCACCCTGTCTTCACCTCGTAAACATCAAATCTCTGACGGCATTTAGTTGAAGTAATCATATCCTTTGATGTGCAGCAAACGACACTTGCAATCAACCTGGTATTCATCATGTCCACCACAACCGGCTCTCACGACGACTACACCGTGGCGTGGATATGCGCCCTCTCCCTAGAAAAAACAGCGGCGGTTCTCATGCTGGACACTCAGCACCCACCTCTCCCCAAGGCTCCATCTGATGAAAACAGCTACACCTTCGGAGAGATCCAAGGCCACAATATCGTGATCGTTTGTCTACCTCTTGGGATCTATGGAACGAACTCGGCGGCTGTGTCTGTCGCACAGATGAAAACAACATTTCCCTCCATCCGGTACGCGCTGGTCGTAGGTATTGGCGGAGGGGCTCCCAGCTTCGAGCACGATATCCGACTAGGTGATGTAGTGGTGAGCAAGCCCACAGCTGACCATGGCGGAGTGATACAGTACGATTATGGCAAGGCCCTGGTGGGCGGCAGGTTTCAAAGAACAGGCACTCTGAACAAGCCTCCAGCGGTTTTGTTGAACGCAATCGCGGAGTTACATTCCAGATACCAAAGGGGGGAGGGCCGTATCGACACGTTTCTATCCGCAGCGCTGGCGTCCAGTTCAGCCAGTGCGGAGTTCTTCGTTCGTCCTCACGATCAGGAGGATTTACTCTTCCGGTCCGACTACTGTCATGCAGATGAATCAAAGTCATGCAACGCGTGTGATAGCTCGCAATTGGTTGACAGGCCGTCCAGACGAGTCATACATCCGTTCATTCACTATGGGACGATTGCTTCCGGCAACCAAGTCATGAAAGATGGAAACAAAAGGCAGCAGCTTGCAGAACAAGGTCAAATACTCTGCTTTGAGATGGAGGCAGCGGGAGTTATTGATCAAATCCCGTCACTAGTCATTCGGGGGATCTGTGACTATGCTGACTCCCACAAAAACAAAAAGTGGCAACCATATGCAGCATGGGTGGCGGCAGCATATGGGAAGGAGCTTCTGTCCGTCGTAGAGCCACACCGAAGGAGGAGCGAGAGGAAGAGCAAATGGCATCACCAGCATAATCCTTATCCAGCGCCTGGATACAGTCCACCAGACTTGGCTCCCGCGCGCAATCCTGAGGCGCATCAAAGTGCCAGTGGTCACCCGATGTATCCTCCTATGTCTGGAGTAGGTTCAGATCATGCGGGAACACGCGGCACGTCCGAACAGAGCAGTCCTCCGCTTGGGGTAAGTGAATTCGCAGTCCAGATACGAAACGTGCCTAAGTGATAATGCAGACCCTGCGAAATCGAAAGGCTTACAGCATCCGCGGAGAATCACGCGGGGTGTATGGACCCCCTCTCGATTGGCGTATGTAACATATACTGCCCATGGCCCACCTTGAACCTTCTAATGATCTCTAGGCTACCAAGTTCAGATATCTCCTGGCGAGTTCTTTGTCGTGGGAAGGGTAAGGACTATATGCAGAGCCTTCAGATAATCCTCTTTTCTGCAAACTCCTTCCGTACTATATGCACTTTCTGACAACTCGTACAGGTCTTCGCAATCCTCTGGCACCAAGGAACCGTAATCTCGGACTTCATCAGCCAAGGCAAATCCACCCAAGGCCAATTCATCCGAGGCAGATTTGGAGAGGAGATCTTCAGCGGTATTCGGCGCATGGTGGTTGTTAGAGCAATGAGCGAAAGTGCCTGGTGTGTGTAAGTCAAGCCGGTAAAAGAGCTACCCTACCAACCAATGCTGATTATTCTGTTCAGGGCCATCACCACCTACGATGGCCAAGGAGTAGCCAAGCCAGGCGTTGACCCAGCAAAACATGCCATTGTATATCTGCGGGGATCTATGCCGACCTGCAAAGCTAATGAGCCACGAATGATCAAGGAACCCTTGGAGGTCGAACCAGCGAGACCTGATGAGAAGCTCGATGAGATGTCTCGTCTTAATTTCGGCAAGGTCTACACCGTTGAACATAATGTCAAAGTGCGACCTGTTGGGATGATATCCTGGAGCTCAATGGCCAAATTCAGAGGCTATGTGAGCAATGAATTTAGACTCGACATTTAATGCAGCTTCAAGATCATTTCGAGGTGTCCTAGTCTCATATGATCAAAAAATTGATTGCTTTTGGGCTCCAGTTGGGAACTGCCTACGCTTGCCAAGTCCATCTCCAAAACAATGCGGGTGTAGTGTGACTGGAGAAAGTCCTGACAAGATTACATTAGAGACTAGAAGATGATTGCCAAAATGACATCTGCGGATCATTGTGCCCCTGATTATTTGACAAAATTAGAATTAACTAATGATCTGATGAAAGCCAAACAAAATTCCGTGAGGCGAGTCTTCGGTTCGAGGTTCAGAGCCACCATTCACAAGAAATAAGCCGCCTTCAGAATGAGCTTGACAAGGAGAAACGCATATCTGCTAGCAGGCAAAGTGTGTTGAGACATTGCAAAGGACAAAAACAATGCTGAACAAGTGAGGGATGGCGGCTACTAATCCAACAAAAGCTACTGAGGAGGCGGAGCAATCCAAGGCGAGGGTTTCCGAGGTAGATGAAAGGAATACAGTTCTGCAAGAATATCAGATTGAGGCGGAGGAAAGTTGCAACAAGGCCTTGAGAAAAGTACTCGAGGTCGTGACCCTCGAGTTTCAATTGGAATAGAAGATTAAGGAACTGGAAAATGAGTTATCAAGGGCACGAAGAACTGAAACGAAAGCAGTTAAGGCCAAGAAGACACTAGAAAGCGGATTCAACGACTGCGCACTGGAAAGATAAAATTAAATACCAAGAATGACCCCTTTTTCCTAAGCCAGAAGCAACACCGAGGTCCTTCATATAGCCATTTTGGAAGGGCAATTGTATCTAGGCGACCGTTCCAATCGGACAATCCGCTGCGTAGCAGCTTCTAACATCGAAATACACAGGTAAGCATCAAAAGGAATGACGATATGACAGAATGATATATCTGATATTTGACAGGTTATAGCTGCGTAACGAGCGGTCCAGGGGGGTTGGAACTGGGCCACTTCCACTATCTCAGCTGCTATGGCTGCTTCGGCGGCTTCGGCTTATTGTGGTGCTACAACATCAAGGTGAACGTGAATGTTCGAAACGTTTGCCACGCCAAACAACTGCTGCTCCAATGGGACGACCTGTTGTGGTGGGGGCCTTTTACTTGCACATGCTGGGAAGCGTTCTTTGCTAGTGATATAACTTCTGCATGACGAGATGAAACATCTCCGTCGGCTTTTTCCAGCTCTTTCTGCTTCGCTGCGTCATGAGAATCAATCCAAGAAGTGAGGATTCCGTTATAGTCGATGACTGCCTTCCCAAGGCGAATAGCGACACCAGTACCAAAGTTAGTGCCAGTTGCACATTGCCATCATCTGCGCGTCCTGCGAGGCAGATAACGGGTTTTCCGACTTTCCAACCCGGCCGAATCTCTTTGGTTGCCCAGATGGTTTGCCGCCCATAGACCAATATCGCCCACAGAATTGCAACCCCGATGTAGGATTAGCTCAGGTCGAGCCGGTATTCAGATGGAAATACAACGAGGCAGAGTTCGCGTTGCCTTGGCTTGAAGACCAGGTAAGGACGTCGTCGGAGTAGGTAAAATTTGAAATTTCCTGGTTGTTAAATATAATCTTTGCCGCGCTCCCAGAAGGAGTGATTCTCAAAGGTCCACTATATTTGTAATCTCCGAGTTTACCTATGATGTAGGTGTCGAAAGTTCCGAACAAAGAAGATACTTGCGAGGCCTTGATTGGCCAACCTCGATTATCCTCCAGGATCATGCCGATTTTCCCGCGTATGATTGTATCCAGAGGCTTGGCCCGATCACTCCACCAGAAGAAACCGAAGAACTGGGGTCCAGTATAGGACTCTGGTGGAAGACGTTTATTATCATCACTTGTGGGGATAGATAGATGTAAGATTGCGGAAGAAGCGTTTGAACCCTTTTCATGCCATATGAGGCTGCCAGAAGCATAGGTGTGATTGTTGATACGCTTTCCGTCCACGAGTACGACCCCCTGCTGGATTAATATGGTTGGGCCACTCTGGCCATCGAGCCTGGTGCTGTAAAATGAATCGAATAAGGGCGAAGTTGTTCAGTATGGCAAGCCTTTATAACCTGATTAACTGCCTGAGAAACAGGGCCAGGTGGAGACTTTGTACGCTGCCCCAAGAGCTCCTAGATCAAGGCAGCTTACTTCTGAACATCTCTTGCATTCTTCGGAGTCTCTGCAGTCCAATTTGAAGATGATTTGCTGTTGGAACTGCCTGGTGGAGAAAAGGCAGTAATTATAGGAGGGAGAAATCATGTTGGATCGCTCAGAGTAGTCTGATAGCGCCAGTTCTATGCAATCTTTGGTTGTCCGTGCCGCATTGTCTATCAAAAAAAGGGATCAAGGGTCAGTTAAGGTCCCAGGGAAGCAGAAATTCATTCTCACGACAACCAAGGACAGTCAGGCCACGGACGCGACGAGCGACAACTCTCGGGCGCAAAAGGAGGTGGCGAAGTGCAGAACACGGGAGGTTCAGTCCAATGGCAAAAATGCAAACAGCGACGAAAGTTGGCCATAATCTCAAGTGGGCAAGGAGGAAGCTTTATAGACCACGCACCGCGATGCCAAGCCTCAACTACGCGCTTTCCCCGAATAGGAACGCTATACCGCTTCTAGTAATTCACCGTCACCGAAGACTACGGAGTAGTGTCGTCAACACTCGCAATATTTGGTGATTCACTACTTGTCTGGTTAGTTCCAGACCCAATTCCTTCCAACGAAGTAGCAGCAGTCCGATTGAATGCCATGGTAGAGGTCGGCCAACTGGAGCCCTTGTAGGTGGCCATGCATGCGATGGGCTTAGCACGGTGGTAGTAGGCCAGCCTTGAGTTGTTGCAGTTGGTCATGAGTCATGACTTTGAATAGGAAGAGACCCTCGCTATTTCTCATCCTAATCTTCGTCTGTAGAGGACAAATCCGCGCAGGATGAATACAAAATCAAGAATGACATCGGATTTCTCCGTTATTGGCGGTCAACGCTCATTTCTTCAATATAGGACTGGCCGGAGCAAATGGATATCTCTAACAGTATAGCTGGCTGGTCCTGGAACTGTATTCGACGAGGGGTTCCACATATGCAACTGCAGTGTTAATGAGGCGGAGCAAGATCATTTAGAAGACACGCCGGCATTCATCGACAATTCAACCTCATGAAACAGGAAGATTATACCCCTCTACGGGCAAGGCACAATATCCCCAGAATTCTGCACAAATCACACTCGCGACAAGCTGAAACGCGAAGGAAAGTCCCTGCAGCGGAAGATTCTACTCTACCTTCCTGCAGTCTTGGCTGCTCTCGAGCCTCGGGCAGAGGCCAGTTTTTCCAGCAATAGGGTAGAAATTAGGATGTATAAAGGCCAGGAAGAGGCCAGATGTATTTCGTACCGAGAAGACATCAGTTGCACCGCAAAATGAAGTACGTCCAGGTTGTCCTCGGGCTTCTGCCCACAGCGCTCGCTGCGTCCATCTATGTCTCTCCCAAAGGATCCAGCGGTGGCTCAGGAAGCATTTCCTCTCCCTTGAACTCAATCCAATCCGCTGTAGACCTTGCAAAGCCAGGCGATACCATTTACCTCCGTGCGGGAACGTACTCGCCTACCAGCAACATCCAGATCACGAAGAGCGGAACGGCAGGTCAGCCATACATCCTGCGCGCCTACGAGGGTGAGAAGGTCATTATTGATGGAGAAGGACTGCCTGGGTAGGTCATCATCCCTCTCTCTGATCGCTTGTTGATAAGAATAGAACGCCCGCTGCCCTTGACGCTTCCCTCCCTAACGACGACCGCGGCATTCTTCACATCCAGAACGCAAACTATTGGCAGTTCTACGATCTGGAACTGATCAATGGTCCGTACGGCGTGTATGCACGCGATGCATCTAACAATCACTACGAGGGGCTGATCACGAGGGATAACTATGAGACTGGTACCTTCGCTCTGCCTGCATAGTTCCAGCTCGCTGACCAGTACAGGCTTCCAACTGCAAGGCTCGTCGTCCAACAACAAAGTCCTCTACCTCGATTCCTATGGCAACAGGGACCCCCGGAAGAACGGCGAGAGTGCCGACGGCTTTGCCTGCAAGGAAGGCTCCGGCGAGGGCAACCTCCTCAGGGGAGCGAGACTGTGGAACAACGTCGACGACGGTTTAGATCTGTGGGAGTTCAAGTCCGCGGTGACGATCGAGGATACCATTTCCTGGGGCAACGGATTCAACCGGTACTCCACCACTTCTCAAGCTGTTCGGATGCAAACTGATAGAGATAGATGGGGCTTCTCGCCCTTCGAAGGCGACGGCAACGGCTTTAAACTCGGCGGCGGCGACGCTGCAGATAAAGGCCCCGCCAACCACGTCATTACCAACTGCATTGCCTTTGGTAACTCCAAGAATGGCTTCACGGATAATTCCCAGACGGGCGATTTTACTCTTAGCCGGAACACGGCGTGGAACAATGCCAAAGTGGGCTTCAAGTTCAATACCGCCGTGGCTACGCTGAAGGGAAACGTTGCTGCGGTTAATGGGGAGTCAGCCACCGCTCTGAGTGACCAGCAGATTTCCTCTGGAAACTCGTGGGATGGGAGTGCAACATGGTCGAATAGTAGCTTCAAGAGTGTGGATGTGAGTCTGGTGCAGGGTGCTAGACAGGCAGATGGGCGGATTACGGCCAGTGCTTTCTTGTTGCCAAAGTCTGGGGAGGCAATTGGGGCGACCACTGCTTGGGAATAATCTTCCTTCATTCAACAGGTTGTCGAGCATGTCTGATGGGTTGAAAATCAACTATAATCAATGTATATCCACCGCTTTGCTTTACCAAAATTTGATCAAGACTCTAGTGATGCACGATCCCTTCATACTCCCTCCCCTTGCTTCCAATCGGCTGAATCAAGGTATAACTGGCCTGACTCCCGAATTCCTGCACCCCATTCACCAAGTACAACGGGGTCATCTCGCCATCCTCGCTGAAGAACAGCTTCGGTCGTTCCCTCCGATAGTAATCCACCCTGCTCCCGTCGGTAAACTCCACAGTGGTATTATACGCCAGCGTGATGTTGTTGTAATGCCACGGACCGTGCCAGTCCCTTGCAAACACATGCGCTCCCACACGCGGGCCCTTGTTGCCCAAAGCGATATCGACCATGTGGTGCACAAGAAAATGCCAGTGTCCGCGTTTGTCGCGCCAGAGGAAGGGGTCCTCGCTGCGTAGGGAGGGGTCAATCTCGGTAAATCCCGGCTCCACACGAAGAGAATACGGCCCCTTGTAGCTGGATGCGGTGTAGATGTTGTTCTTTTCCGTGGCGAGGAGCATCTGGCTTGTGTGGTGGTGTGGTGACCAGAGGGGCCAAGCGGCGGGATTGGTGACATTCACCAGGAGCTCGATGGGCTCGCTCCAGACGCGGAGGTCCGGTGATGTCGAGACGGAAATGGTATTGTTGCGCTTGATGGAGCGGCAGGTCGTCGGTGGTTTCCAGTCGAGTCCGATGAAGTGCATTAGGTACAGCTTGTCGGCTAGACTCCAGGTCACGGTTGGGTTGTGGTGGAATGTCCCGAAGAGCTCCTGTGCGAATGTGTAGGGTCCTCTCGGGCCTGTACGCGACTCCGCGCGGACCACAGTGCTGAACGGTCGCCAGCCTGATAGTCCACAGCCTCTGTCTATTTGGGAGATGATGAGATGGAAGAGTTTGCGGTCGAACGGGTCGTGGATGATTTGTCCGCCCCAGGAGGAATTCCCTGCGCCTTCGCGGTAGAAGTCCGGCAGGCTGATATTGGTACGGTTGTAGCCTGTATTTCGGTCAACAGGCTGCAGGTCCAGCTCGCTGCAGTCAGCAGCACGCCAACCAGGATCACAGATGCATTGTTTGGTTGTTGAACAGACGCCTGTTAAACTGCAGTCTTCGTCCGTGTGGCATGCAAAGGCCGCCACGAGGGGCAGAGCATGAAAAAGAAGGAGCAATACACGCATCGTGGTCAGTGCTGCTGCTACTCATCCTCAGGGATCTCAGGTCTTTATTGCTTCATGCCAAGGTGCGATTAAGCCTGAATGCTGCGGGGTATAGCATCGAGGGATTATAACCGGTGGACAAATTATGCTTGTGTCCTGCATTTCGGTGTGTTGATCACCGAGTATGAGATGACTAGCATAGCATCTGCAAAGCAATATGTCTTGGAATGGTCTTTGTAGTAGCTGATCTTATTCTCAACGACATACTACTTGCAAGAAGAATTTGGTCCATTTTGCCTTTGTTTGAAAGGCATCCTCCCTCGGGCAGCATCACAAATACAGGATTAGAAACACCAATGATAGCTCGACGAACAAACATGGCAATCACTATATCTGCGACACGAAGCGTGGTCTGACAGCGTGGGTGAGAACAAGAGGCAGCCGCATTATCGCCCCTAGGAACAACATCGGCCTCATTGTCCGGGTTATTGGCATGATATTTTCTCGCTTCTTCCATGGAGGCATCTAATTCCTCGGATAGGGAATCCGATATAACGGCCAACACGGCGCCATCATGGTCTAGCAGGTAGTAGCCCCCGTTTCTATCGTCCAGGGTCCCCATAGGATATTGGTCAGCCATGTCGTTGAGCTGCTTGCGGGTTTCGACGACGAGAGTTCCATCGGGGACAGGGACGGTTCATCTGGTCGTAGCTACGGAGAGACTGCTGGAGATAAGAAACGATAGAATAGTAATGATGTTGATCCTCGTCGCGGTTTCCGTCACTGCTCTGAGTGAAGGTGACTCGTAATAGATGGGAAGTCCCAGAGTGAGTGTGTAGTTTTAATAAACCAAGGGTTTATGATATAGGCCCGATGTGATGCACAGGTCAGGCTGTTGCCTAAACACAATCTTAGAATCCTTTGCCTCGGAATGTGACCCTATTATCAACGTTCAGAATCTCTCTGTACAGTGTACCTGGAGCAGAGCTGATAGATAGTGCCTATTCTTGTTAAGGCGATTGATCCTGTCACTTGAGCATTGGCTAACTTTTGTGTATGAGAACACTCCAAGGAGCCTGGTGTATAAATTCCTTTCTTTAACCCTTTAGTGCATAAAGGTATGTAGCTCCTCTGATTAAAGAGGGGAAGTGTTAGAGACCAAAAGATACAGACAGATATATATAGATACACATAAATTGCCATACTTATTGATCACTATATACCAAGAAATGTGTTGTGAACAGCAACTCTATCAGGACTCCCAAACATGCAAGTATAGACAAAGTAGTAGAACCTCATCCGGAGACTCGAAATTCTTTACAACAGCTGGTGTAATTCCTCATGTGAAACAGAAGCGCCATCGGTACTAACACCTGTCAAGGGCTCATTCTCAACAGTTTGTCCAGTGTCAAAGGTCTGGGAGCCACATTAACCAGAATCCATAATAACTCTGCTAAATACGGAAAGCTCACCCTGGTGAAGATAAAAAGGCCGCTTTCCCGTTGTTGTCCTCTAATGCCGTTCTCGAGTCTTTGTAGTGCATTATAAAAGGGCTCAAATATTGAAGATTGGCCGAGTTGGGGTAGGGATGAACTACCGGTTGAGGGCAGTGGAAGGTAAGGTTGGCCGATTGCATGAGAGTCCGGAGTGTAGTTGAGTTGGTTATTCTCATGATTTTCCTCATTGGGTGGGTTATGGGCTACAGGGTCAATAAAGAATTAGAATTAGAATATCCCCGCAACACATGAGAGCAGGAGACTAAGATCGTACCAGACAATGCTAAGGCCGGGCCTCTCCACCATTGACGGAGCAGTTCTCTGTTCTGGACCGCGAATCGAATACCAGGAACACAAGCAATGAATAGAGCCACTAGAGCAATTAACGCCTCGGCTGATAAGGCCATTGTGGGAAACGTTGGACAATCCAAACTGATATTAAGGAATGGTAGATTGATTCAAATAACGATATGAGGAAAATTGAGGATGATGGCAGCATTACTTCGACTATATATACTTATATGCAAGATCGCCAGGTCCTGTAGAGTCGCGCAGAACGCAGAGTCAGACAAAGTCAACTTGAGCCCCTACCAAGTACAACTGTACTACCACCGAAGCCATGATGATTCTTCATTGGGGGGTTAGGTACACTGCCACCGGAAAACATTGGGTGATTGGTGAGATTTTTAGAGTACCATTCATAGCCCGAGTACCTGACTGAAGATCAGCACAAAGAAGCTATGGACAGAGCTGGAGTATTCTCCAAAGCATTCCAAAAATCCATGCCTCCAGGGGTGACTAAACCAAAGCATGCCAGAACATGCTGATCCGGGTTGCTTGTCCTTCTTCCAGTCCTAACAACTCCATGATCCATCTAATGCCGTCATTATTCCGTCCCAGATGCCAGCTTGTAGACTTCCCCAAGGGCAATCTTCCGGATGGACAAAGCACTGACAACGACGCGAAAATGCTCCTAGACTTGCAAGGTGGCATTAGTGCCGTGGTAGTATAGCTTAGGAATGCCTGTACCTGCGCGGCACTAGTCGTAGTCCACACGAGGTGGGAAATGGTCAGGGTGAGGAAGTTCTTCCTCATGGAAGGGTTGGTTAGTACTCTATATTATATGTCTAATAAGCAAAATGACAGTCTGTGCTCGTTGTTGACCACTTAGAGTATCTAGCTGTATCTGATGCACAAACCAGCATCACTCAATTTAGCAGGGGGATATTGAATCAGTCAAAAAGCTTGCGGTGCCCCAGGGATTTCAAGACTGAACTGCTACGCCCGCATAATGAGCGTGGCCAGTCACTGCCACATGTGGCCGTTGCGCAACGATATGAGAAAGCAACAGGAATCCTGCTGACTACAGGGGCCCCTCGTGTCCGCGAAGATAGGCAATGATGGACAACGGCCTTGCGCGCGTTGCCCATTTGCTTCTGGGGTGAAGCAGAATTTTCACCATGCAGTAGCCGTCATTACTGTCCTAATGTCATTGGACATTGCGAAATAATACTCGATGATATGCGGTTCCATCTTCGGTGGCAGGCTGGGTCTCCTCGGGTCGAGCTGCCAACCTATAACGTACAATAGCAATTCTTCTTCACGCTCAGCGTCGATATAGACATCACAGCGGCCCATCAGTGACACAGCCGTGGCTGGCGTCACTGACAAGAGTAGCATACTTCTTCAGAGTACCTTTCTTCGCCCGGGGTTCAGGTGCCTTCCATTCCTTCTTCCTCCTCTCCATCTCTTCGGCTGAAATATCCAAATCAACCACTCTCTTCTCTGCATCGATAACCACCCTGTCCCCGTCTTTGACCAGGCCGATTGGACCACCCTCCATTGCCTCAGGCACAATGTGACCAATTAGGAATCCATGGCTGCCACCAGAAAATCGTCCGTCGGTAAGCAGGGCGACATCCTGACCCAGACCGGCACCCATGATGGCGGCACTGGGCTTAAGCATCTCTGGCATACCGGGACCCCCCTTTGGACCCTCATATCGGATAATGACAACGGTTTTTTCTCCCTTTTTGATTTCCCCCTTTTCGAGAGCCTCCACAAACGCATCTTCATAGTCATAGCATTTGGCAGTACCTTCAAATCGCAGACCTTCTTTACCAGTGATTTTTCCAACGGAGCCTCCAGGTGCCAAGGACCCACGCAGAATTTGAAGATGACCCGTCGGCTTGATGGGGTTGCTCAGCGGTCGGATGATCTGTTGATCTTCAGGAAAGTCAGGCCAGGATGCAACATTCTCCTTCATCATTTTTCCTGTCACAGTAATGCCAGACCCATCAATCAAACCCTCCTTGAGCAGGAAGCGGAGTAGGGCCGGTGTGCCGCCGATCTTGTACATGTCATGCATGACATACTTGCCAGATGGTTTCAGGTCTGCCAGGAAGGGTGTCTTGTCTGACACAGCTTGGAAATCATCAATGGTGAGCTTGATGCCCACGGACTGGGCGATGGCAATCAGATGCATAACTGCATTAGTACTACCTCCCAAGATATTGACCACAATCATCGCGTTCTCAAAAGCTTGGCGAGTCAAAATATCTGAAGGCCGAATGTCTTCCTTCAAAAGGTTCTTGACCGTTTCTCCAATCTCTTCACATTCAGCTTTCTTTCGGGGATCTTCTGCGGGACAGCTACTACTTCCCGGAACCGTAAGCCCGAGAACTTCAATAGCTGTGGCCATGGTATTGGCGGTATACATGCCACCACAGGCACCACTTCCTGGGCATGCATGGCGGATGATGTCAAATCGCTGTGCTTCATCAATCTGACCACTAATGTATTGGCCATACGACTGAAAGGCACTGACCAGATCCAAAGTCTGACCACCAGCGCTGCAACCAGGCTTAATACTGCCACCATAAATCACAATGCTAGGACGGTTGACCCGGCCCATGGCCATAACCACACCAGGCATGTTCTTATCGCAGCCTGGAAGTGAGATATTCGCATCATACCACTGGCCGTTCATGACCGTCTCAATGCCATCGGCGATGATCTCGCGACTCTGCAGGCTGTATCGCATACCGCTGGTGCCCATGCTGATCCCGTCCGAAACCCCAATCGAGTTGAACCGCATGGGAACCAGACCTGCCCTGGCGACCGAGTCGCGTACCAGTGAGGACAGATCCATCAGGTGCATGTTGCAAGGGTTTCCCTCAAACCACACCGAGGAGATCCCCACCTGGGCCTTGTTCATATCTGCTTCCTCTAGACCAGTGGCATACAACATCGCTTGCGAGGCACCCTGTGATTTGGGTTGTGTGATTTTCGACGAAACTCTGTTCAATTTGGCATCGGCGTATCGACGAGAGGTGGTGGAGAGGAGGCGACTGGGATTGTTAGTCGGGGGTCGGCTTAGAGGCAGAATTAAACAGGAAAAGGGCGCGAAGGCATGATGCTTGGATTGAGGCTGTACTTGCCTATGGACTTGGTTTGTTAGATGCCTTTGACAACTCAGCATCGGAGCCCTGGACCGAAGGGCGTGTAGAATCATGATGAGTTTCTTTGTTTTTGAGGATGTGACGGCAAGGAAGGAAAATATCAATTCAGGAAGCGCTTTTGTACGCCCGACAGACTATTTCTATAATTCTATTTCCAAGCTCACTTCTTGATGGTGACCTCGAAGATGGAAAGAATTTGAAGAATGTGTCGCGGCCAGGGGATGACTCGGTCGCAATAGGAGCTGTTAATCTGATGGCCAGCTAGTGGCCTCAGGCCTCGAACAAATTAGCAACCAATGATTTTCTAGACAGAAGTGCTGATGCTGTTGTCTCACCATCAATAGCCAATCCGGTTATGGCCAAAAGGGAGGACTTCGGAGTGAGGCGTCAACTCCGGCGACCCACTGAGATGCTCTTGGCTTTACTTGGCCTGTCAGGCTTCAGATTGAATTTCGGACCATTCCGCGGAGTCAACGGAAAGAAACCCGAATGGCCTTGACTATCCTGATGCCCCAGACTCATTTGCTTCAAGGAGAAACACCGGTGAACTAGATGAATGATGGTCATTGCCGCTATCATTGGTAGGTAGCTATTGCAAGTCAGGTGACTGCAACCTGTTGCAGTGTTGATGCTATTTTCTCACTCTGCAACGCTACTTTGCAATGACATCTCCTTGCTATGACAACAAAAGAATCATCGCCGGAAGGCAATGACACATAATATTCGACAAGATCAATGTTAATCTACTCTCATTTGACAAGAAAGCAGGGATGGGATAACCTTAGCATCGCCTGGTGAGATGAGTCAGGTAGGTAAAAACGGCCAGTAAGTCTGTCAAAAATCTGAACTCTATACGGAGTACTAATATGCAGGATCAATTCTACCTAGTAAGCAACTTCCGTACCAGCGATGCTCTTCGGTGCTGTTCCCATCGCCTCACAATCCAGACCGGTCGCGTACGTCTCCGACCCGTTGATCACAGCGCCGTCTAGTCGAAACGCGTTATACTGATACGCCTGGACCTCCGTTCCGTTTCGCGGGCCGGGCCCCTCCACCTCAAACCCTTCGACAGGGCAGGTCCATTCTTCAATCTCCACCCATCCCACACTTAGCGCCGTATCAAAATAGCGCCGAAATCGTGCACTCGCCTCGCTCGTGTCTCCACGTTCATATAGCTCCCGCAGTCGGTACCGCAGGTCACAGAAATGCCAAGTCACGTAGCCGTGGATGAAGCCTCGAAGCGTGGCCAGGATCTTGGGATGCCTGTCTTTGAAAAGCTGTAGAATTCGCACACAGGCGTTGGTGGTCTGATCCGTCAGACGTTCCAAGGCCTCGTCCATCGTGATCCCGTCCACTACGCACCAGGAGGACACGAGATTGGCCTCGTCCTGGTCGAATTCTTTGTAAAAGGAGAACAGGTCATTGATGAGGGCGACCGGTCCGTCCATTTGTGACATCACGCACGCGATCTCTTTCAGGTGCTTCCGGTCATCGAAATCACAGGCCGGAAAGATGGTCCCCGCCACGGCGCCCCCGAGGCAATTCAGCCTTCGCAGGAACATAGGGAAGCAGTCGGACCCCGGGTAGCCTTGGAAGTTGTGCTGTTCGATCCAACAGCCCTCGAAGTAATCAAAGGTGCAGCGCATGATGTTGAAGGCACAGAAGCTGCCGTAGTTGGTCAACAGTTGCGGCAGATGCGCGTTCATCAGCACCCAGAATGGATGCGTCTGTCTCTTGCCCTGGATGAGGTCTGTCCAGAACGACGCCATCTGCGTGCTGGGGTCCGAGTTGATCTCGTCATCGAGCACGTTGATAATGGACAGGTAGATGCTGATGTCAACTTGCACGTCCCGAGGCACTTTGGACCAGCAATAGACAACGAAATGTGAGATCGTCCGGGTGACGGCGGCTATCCGCACCGGGCTCACTGATCTTAAGATGGCCTTGGGAAGCGGCTGAGCGAAATACTCAGCTGTCTTCGAGTGGACATGGCGGAGACCTTGGACGCGTTCGTCACGAGTCAAGTTGTCATCGTGGTAGTCGATGGCATCAAGGAAACGCACAATAGAACGGCAGAAGAGGTCAGCGGGGAAGCGTTCAGTGACCATACTGGCGATGTCTAGGCGAGACCGAGTTGGGGGAAGTCACAGTTGACGACAGGTATTGGGAATACTTAAATAGAGGGCGGTATCAAGCACGCGCATGCGAGTCGACGGCCCATCCAACAGTCTCAGCCCGACTTATCGCTCAGTTCGCTGTCCTGCAATCTCCGAAGACCCCAAAGGAGCAGGGATTGATTCACGTCACCACTAGACGTTGGAGTCACATCCAGCACGTCAACACTAGAGGTTGGAGTCAAATCCAGTGTACGGGTTGAGAGGACCAACAGGACCAACCAGATAGGCTGCGTGGGCTACACCAGTGCTCACTGCGCCAAAGTCATGACGATCCCTTCTCTCCTAATTGCTGCACCATCGTCTCTATTGCCTGGAAGGATTGATTGTGACCATGGACGCCTGGATGTTGCCCGATATCCGGAGATGGTTCAGACGAATGATTGGTGTAATCTCTGACAATGGCGGAGACTGAGATCCCTTCTCGACTCGACGTTGCAGACCTGCTAATTTGGCCATTTGTCTGTATAATCACGTCCTCGCATATGTCTCAGCTCGGTGTTCATCCGATGAGGAGCTATCTGTAGTCATTCTGCGCCAGGCAATTTCCTAATCTAGCCAGACTGCTGCCCCATTTGACCACTCCTCGGTTGCGCTCACCACAAAAGTATACAGTAATCGTACTTTCTAACGGTCTTTGTGCATAGTTCTTGATTTGCGCGACGGCTGCAGCCGTACCTTGGCCGCCAAAGGCGCTCCACTGATTGGCATGCCCTCATGAAGGCTTGACGGGCCCAGGCAACGCCCGGGATCTGCGTCCCTCGGCCTTGCTCGCGCATCCGCTTATTTAGTGCTGATTACGGAGTATTTTGCACTAGCATACGCATCTAGCTGTGTTAGTGCTTACGATTTAGTGCGAATGATGGTGCCGATCGCATCATCCAGATATGATTATGTACATGGACGGAACGGGATGCTTATCTCGCTGCCCGTTGGTTTCAGATATGGTCTATTGGCATTTGCATCTTCCCTTATGCAACACCCCGGTGAGACCGCATTTACCTGAATTGGCTGGCTGCTCTAGATCATCCTGCTACGGCGGCAACTCGGATCGCAGACTCGCTCGGTGAAAAGGGGAATATCGGATACAGATTGGCAGCAACGCTTCGAGGATAAAAGTCCCAAATTTGGCGTGAGTTCTACCCATTTCACGATTCCATCCTCTTCGCCAGGCACTCTTGGTACCTCGACGCGGCCATGTTCTTCGAGGAATTGTCTTTTGCAGCCTCCGTCAGCATTGCCTTCGGCGCTTTAGCTGTTGGTCTTCTGGTTCGCTGTATCTACGATCTTTTCTTTCACCCACTGCGAAAATTCCCGGGCCCTAAACTGGCCGCTATCGGATCATTCTACGAGTTCTACTACGATGTTATCAAAGATGGCACCTACCTGTGGGAGATTGAGAAGATGCATCGAACATACGGTATGTGGGCTGTCTCTACAAGAGTATTGGCCGAATACCCAGATACTAACTCTTTCAAGGCCCGGTTGTCCGCATCAATTCCAGATCTCTCCATATCCATGACCCTGACTACTTTAACATGATCTACGCCGGAGGCGGCCGCAAGATCAACAAGGAAGCGTCGGCCGTCGCTGGGTACACCTTTCCACATTCCACCATCGCCACATTGGACCATGACCTGCACCGCAAACGCCGTGCCATCGTGAGCCCGTACTTTTCCAAACGGGCGATCACGGGCATTGAACCGCTCATCAATGAGCGGCTCAATGTGCTCTGCGCTCGTCTGAGGGAAACGATGGCCCGAGGAGTGACCGTCGACTTGACCTCGGCCTTTTCCGCCTTCACAGCCGATGTGGTGACATACCACTTCTATGGATCGCATCCAGACTATTTGGGGAGCCTGGACTTCAAATATGACCTCAAAGACGCTCTAACCGCCTTACTTGACTTCTACCACATCACCCGTTTTCTCCCCATTCCCCCCACGACTATCAAGAACCTCCCACTTCCTATCCTGGGCTTGCTCAATCGCAACTTCCCGCTGGTATTTGCCGCACGGAATAAAAACAAGAGAATGCTGATGAGCTTCCTCAACGGCCCGAATGCCAAGAAGCTGGCTGAGACGGATTCCCGGTCCAAGTCAGTCATTGTCCGCGCGTTGACAGATCCTAGCGTGCCTCTCGAGGAGAAATCGTTGGATAGGTTGTTGGATGAGGGAGAAACCATCATCTTCGCAGGCATTGACACCACCGCCAGAACGCTCGCTATTGCCATGTTTCACCTGCTGAACGACAAGCGGCTGCAGCAGAGGCTTCGGCAAGAACTGGACTCCGTGGGCAAGCCCGCCGAGCAGGATTGGACCACTGCAGAGCTCGAAGCTCTTCCTTATATGGTATGCTCCTCCTTTCCCCTATATGCTTCCTGTTGCCCTGGCGAAATCCTAACCCGTCACAGAGAGGAGTGGTCCATGAGGCGCTCCGACTCTCCTACGGACTGGTCGTACGTATTCCAAGAATTTCCACAGAAGAGGTGCTGCAGTACAAGGATTACAGCATCCCACCGGGAGTAAGCTCCTTTGCTCTTCGCATTGCCTTCTTGATCACATCTAACCTTTCGTAGACCCCTGTCAGCCAATCTACGTATCTGGTCAACAACGACCCGACGATATTCCCGAATCCGCACGTCTTCGACCCGGAACGCTGGATCAGGGCCGCGCAGGATGGCGTCAACCTGGAAAAGTACATGGTCAGTTTCTCCAAGGGCAGTAGAGGCTGTCTCGGTATCAAGTAAGCAAGCGCATCTTCTCATTTTCCTCTGGGAAAAACTGCTAATGGTATTGACCGCAGCCTTGCCTATGCTAAACTCTATCTTGGGATTGCGAATGTGGCGACACGCCTGGACATGGACCTTGTCGAGACGAAACAGCAGGATATCGAAGTGTACCACACGCGTGGGTTTGCATTTCCCAAGGAAGGATCCGGCTCTGTCAAGGCCAAGGTCACGGGTGTAAGATGTAAGACCTAGCCGAATGGTCAAGTTGCCTGAGAAAATCACTCGTGCGTTGGGATGGTTCGGACGAGGAAACATTGGTACTTTTGGTCATGATGCCGAAACCGGTGGCCACTGGGCGCAAACATGGGTCCACTCTCATGGACTGCATTAATAAAGCAGATACGGAGGACTCCGTACTATTGTTGCTTGAAAGCTGTGGGTCGTGCTGTTGGTGTGATGACGGCCTAGTTTAGCTGCATGCAATCCTTGCATAGTTCCGACTAGTCTGTATACACCAATTACGCTATCGCCCCGTAGGGTATGGACAGTGGACTCCATGAAGATATTCCATCAAGTACCCCTTTTAAATTACAAATGGCTTCGGCTGACATCGCGAAGAGTCCGCAGCATTAGATATCGGGGTCTGGTCGACCCTTCGTGGGCAGCTTTAGTGGAACACCGACCGATTCTCGGCCTCTTGCCGCTCTCCCCAATGCTGCCAGGGTAATGACTGCATAACATGCCCTGTGGACGTTTTATCTCAGCTGAGTGTCCTCAATGTCCTTCTGGTCTTGATAGTCTAGAGTATTGTCAGCCTGCCACCTACCCTAGCCATGCTCAACTCAATCCTTATCGCTCTGGACGCGTGCGAGAGCTCGACAACGACTACCATCATCCTTACAATCCTCGTCCTCCTCGGCACAGTCATCATCTACCCAGTGCTCTTCAGATTCCGATACCCCGCCAACCTCCCTCGCGCAGGCGAACCGCCCGGCAAACGCAGCTTCAGCTGGCGCACACGCTGGCGCTACTACACAGACTGCGAGGAGTTATACAAGGAAACCTATGAGACCGTGCGTCCCTGACCTTCCTACTACCCGGAGCCACCCAGCTAACATGGAAACGGCAGTACACCAAGCACGGCCGCACGGCCCTACTCCCCGGCCTCGGCTTCCGCCACGAGATCATCCTCCCGCAGAGCGCGATGAAATGGGTTCTTGCGCGGCCGGAAGCCGAGCTGAGCCATGTGGATGCCGTGCTGGAAGTCGTGCAGCTGGCGTATGCGCTGGGCGATGCCAAGTACAAGGCCGATCCGTGGCCGTGCATGTTGGTCAAGGCGGACATCAACGCCAAGCTGGAGGCCGTGGGCGCGGTGCTGGACGAGGAGCTGCGTGGTGCGTTTGATCGGTATTTCGGGACGGATGGCGAGGGCTGGCGCGAGGTTGATCTGCTCCCGACGGTCCGGATGGTGGTTGCTCAGGCGGCGAGTCGGTTTACGGTTGGGTTACCGCTGTGTAAGGACTCTCTCTTGTGTGGTGGGCGGCAACGAGTCTGACTGTGTCTTGGATAGGTCGTGATGAGGAGTATCTTCGGGACTGCTGGAAGGTGGTGGATGGGATGGTCATGAACGGGGGACTGACGGGAGCCCTGCCGCGGGCCCTGCGTCCGATCCTAGGCCCCGCGGTGACCTGGAAGCTCCGCCAGGATATACAGCGCATCAGGCAGCATTTTGCGCCGCTGTATCACCAACGGCTGAGCATGTTAGATGAGGGCGATCAGCAAGACAAACCGCAGGATCTGCTGCAGAAAATGCTTGAATTCGCGCGCAACGAACGCCCCGACGAGCTGCGCGATCTCGACAGCATGACCAGGCGGCTTTGTTTCGCCAACTTTGCAGCCGTCCACCAGACCAGCCTCCTTGTGACAAACATCCTCCTAAACGTCCTTGATTCGGACCACGACTTCGACACCGTCGCTGCCCTCCGCGACGAAGTCCACCGGATCATCGGGCCAGACGGCACTGGGCAATGGACGAAATCTAACGTGGCACGCATGTTCAAAGCGGATAGCATTGCCCGCGAGACTCTGCGTCTGCACTCAAACACGAACCGAGGCGTATTCCGCAAGGTGCTGGTCGACGGGCTCACTACCGAAGACGGGATCAAGCTTCCCCGGAATTCGTACGTGTCCTTCCTAGCGCGTCCGCTCCAGTGCGACCCGGAAAAGTTCGAGAGTCCCTTGCGATTCGACCCGTTCCGGTTCTCGCGTCTGCGCGAAACAGCGTCCGTGGAAGCCGGCACGGAGAAGCCAAGAGGCAGTAATCTCAGCTTTGTCTCGACCTCGCCAGAACACCTGCCCTTTGGACATGGGAACCATTCGTGTCCGGGGCGGTTTCTGGTGGACTTTGAGGTCAAGATGATCCTGGCGTATGTTCTGAACAACTATGAGATTCAGTTCCCGGCCGATTATGGAGGCAGGAGGCCGGCGAGTAAGTGGGTGGCTGAGGCGTTGGCGCCACCGGCTGCAAGAATCAGAGTGAGACGACGGGCTGGCGTTTAATCTGGACCTCGCTCAGGTTGGCAACTTGCTTTCCTGCATTGAAGCCATCACTTCAAGAAACAGACAGATGCAGAAGAGGACTATATCACAAACAATATATCATCATAGAGTAGTCACTAAAAGAAGTTGACATTGATCTACACCAGGTTGTGCTCTCATGGGAGCACCATTCCATTAACACATGAAGGCTCTGTATTCCCATTCAGTTTGAGACCAAGCGTTAGATGAACATAGACTAGATTGATTCACTGTAAGCCTAGCTCACACAACTGTTGCCACGCACATCTATTCAAATCATAAGCAATGCATATGCTTGATCTGCATGGGAATTTCAGCGTTATAAGAGCCATCTATTTGCTATGATATTGCACATCTTGTAGGGAAGCATCGTGAACAAATGACATATAGCAGAGCAGTCCAAGACATATCCAGACTACTCAATTGACCAAGCTAGATGATCCTGCAAAGTATGCAAAAGATCTCTCACTTCAGCCGTGGCTGAGTCAAAGCAAGCCAGAATGTGCTGATCCGGCCGGATGAGGATTGCTTGTCCTTCTTCCAATCCCATCAGCCTAATCCAACGCCGTCCTTCCGCCCCAGGCGCCAGCTCAAAGTCTTTCCCAAGGATGAGCATCCGGATAGACAAAGTACTGGCAATGACAGCGGGTAATTGCTCCTTCAACTGCTCAATGTACGAACCCCACTGGTGCGATCTGGCACTATCCACGATGATCGTGGAAGAGTCGAACGCACACAAGTCCAGAGCGGAATATTCTTTCCACTTGACCTGTTCAGCCGACAGCTCCGACACGTATGAAGAGTCGATTGGAGGCAACTGCACGTCTGCCGAAGGCAATATCCGAATCCACGCATGGGGCAGACGAGCACCGGGCCTACAGACGGGCTGAAACACCGAGGCACATTCGGGAATGCCCGTGTCCCCGTACACATATCCAATGTGTAGGCCGAGATTATCAAAGTGTTCTCGTTGCTCTTCGATGCCCTGTTCGATCTCGGCCACTGCTTGCGGATCTTGCAGGTTCCGATAGAGGTGCTCCCGGGCTATCTCGACATTCTTGTTTGTCGTGCCGAGTTTCTTCAATAGCCCGAAGATCTTGAGTCCGTTCTTCACGCTTTGCTGGGAGTTTACAATCGCAACGTGACGCCGATCAGCCTCGTAGCTTTCCAGAAGGCCATCCCCAGCCCAGCCTTTGTGGACGGCTGCGAGCTTGTATGCGAGGTTGTGCACGTCGCCTAATCCAGAGTTCAGGCCCAATCCACCTGTTGGAGGGAACGAATGCGCTGCATCTCCTGCTCTGTTTGGGTCAGTATCATATATCCGCCACTAGAAGGCTGCTTACAAAAAGACTCTGTTAATCTTGTACTTGTTGGCCACCTTTCTGCTCAGTACCCAAGGCCGATAAGAGAGCACGTCGTACTTGACTCCCTTTCCAATGGCCCCATCCACTATCTTCCGGCAGAGTTCCTCATTCCACGATTCCGCAGGATGTCTCTCGGCCTAAACAGTCAGTATCCATTCTGATGGACATGGGTTTCTATGCATACATCAAAGTTGCAGATCAAGACCTGATTGCCCGAAAGATCGTATCCGATGATGAACCCCGAGACCTCCGGGTCCATGACCCAATGCAGCATGCCCACGCGATCTCCCACGACAGGTCGCAAGTCTGCGTTGAAATGGATCGTCATCATCGTTTCATCTGTTGGTCAGTATTATTCAGAATCAGATGATGTCTGACATACAAGAGTCCTCGCCCTCGCTTTCAACACCGAGAAATCTCCGGACGGCGCTTTTAGCCCCGTCACAGGCGACGACATGTCTGGATTTCACAATGTATTCTCTTCGCAGACTGCGATCTTCAATGGTGGTGAGGACATGATCGTCAAACTGCAAATCCTGGTCAATAGCTAATGATTTCCGACTTCCGTGAGATGTACCTGCTCCAGGCCCACGAATGAATGATTCTTGCGAATCTCACACAGAGGACTTTTCGACACTCTTCGAGCCACAACCTCTTCAAACGCAGGCTGGGGGATGTTGTGAATCATCTGACTCAGTCAGCAAATGTCCCCATTAGGCCTGAAAGCAGAACTTGCAGTTGGCGTCACATCCAGCACGTCCGCATCCATTCGCTCATACGGCAAACGGCCCACCAGCTTTCCGTCCAGACTGGTGATAAAGTTAACCCAGTACGCATCCCGTCGCGGTGTACCGATCTTGCGGATCTCGTTGACGTCCAGTCCGAACTGGCGGCAGATTTCGAGAGAACGTGGGGACAGCGCGTGCGCCTTGGGGGCAGCGAGTCTGGTTGGATATCTCTCGACAATCAGGGATTGAACTTGACAGTAAGCATTCGGCATTGCATTGTCTAAGAGGTAGATACTGGGATTACCTCCAAGTTGAGACAGCATGAATGCGAGCAGCAATCCCGAAGGACCGCCGCCGATGATGAGGATTGGGACCTCTTCCAATACTTTCTCGCTCGTCACTGATGGGGACATGATGGCTTGAAAGGTTTCAACTGCTCGCAAAGCTCTAGACGAATAATCCTACAGATCACGCCTCATGCGACTGAGCTGCCATTCTTATACCTTTTTGACCCGCAGTTACACCGCGTCATCTTCCCCACTGAGATTGGTCCTTTCAGTTGTAACTTGTACCATCGTCAGCAGATGTCTGACGCGTGTTTCTCTGTCGTCAACTCAAGATTGATCTTCGCGCAAGTGGGAAAGGCTGCGGATATACAATTCTACATTCTCCCACTTGCAAAGTGGGGAAGTGGGATAAGGTTGGAGGTTGGCTGGACAATTCTCTTAGCCGAGCAACTTCCCCAGATCCAGGACTGAAACTCAACGAGACTAGGAGAGTCGGTGGATCGAGTAGAATCGCGGGGACTCTGATATTGTGGGGAGGGTCCATACAATCGATCAACTATAATCGGTGCGTCTTGAGTTTCGACCACACGCCAGGAAATCTCTTATATAAAGAGGATCATCCTGCAGAACAACCCTACATCGTCATCAACCACCATGGCCCAGACTGAAATGCAATACGATGCTGCCCCAGGCACGGAGCTGCTTGTCGACCAGGGCAGCCATCGCAACCTCGATTCCTATCAACATGTTATCAAGGGCGACTCTCGGATTCTCCTTGTCCCTCAGCCGTCCCTCACAGACCCCAACGATCCTCTTCGCTGGCCTCTGTGGAAGAAATGGCTCACCTTTGCCAACGGGCTGTTCTACGCCTTTAATGGAGCCGTGACCGGGCCCATGATGGCAGGAGGTATATCAACTACTGTCCTACAGTCACCAAGCTGATGAAACTAGGCATGCTCCAGCTATCCGAGTTCTTTAAACGACCTCTGGCAGATCTCACCTACAGCAACGGAGCCACGCTCATCTGCCAGGGTTTCGGTACTCTACTGTGGATGTAATCGCCCCTCTCCTCTTGACTTACAAGGCTAATGGTCCAGGCCACTGGTCGTCAAATTCGGTCGCCGCCCCGTATACTGAGCAGTAACCTCCTGATGGGCATCGCCTGCGTGTGGCTGGCCATCGCCGCCGAAAAGACATACCCTGTGTTCGTGCTCGCGCGGGCCTTTCTCGGTCTATGGGAGGCGCCGATTGAAGCTATAGTACCCAGCACCGTGGCGGATCTATTCTACCTGCATGAACGGGGCGAGAAAGTGTCGCTGTACGGGCTATGTGTGCTCGGGGGCAACGAGATTGGCCCGTTGGTCTCGGCGTATATCATCCAGGCGCTGAGCATGCGGTGGGCGTTCTTCATCGTCGCGGTGTCGATCGGTGTGAACATGGTGACGATGTTCTTCTTGATGCCGGAGACCAAGTATACCGGTGCTCGACCTGTTGTGCGGTTGTCAGAGGCGTTGGACGAGTCGAAGAATGCCACGGAGCATCGCGAGACACTCACCACAACCGACAATCAAGAGTCGCGGGGTATCGCACGGAAACCCTACGCACAGGAACTGGCATTCTGCACCGAGGTGGATCCCCACGCCAGCCTTGTCGCAATCTTCCTTCGCCCCTTCGTCCTCATGACATACCCAACAGTCCTGTGGGCCAGCATCGTCTACGGCATGTCCCTCAGCTGGAACGTGATCCTCGGCGCTACGGTGGCCCAACTCTTCGGCACTGCGTACCTC